AGTCTCCCTATATGAACAAAAGGACCAGTAACGTGCCAGCTACTTCCCAAAACACTTATCAGAAACAGGATATAACGGCATCAGAACCGGTAGGATTGTATTTATGCCTGTGAACATTTGTAGCACACTTAGCTTCATGCAGAAAAGCAGCTTACAACTACCTGAAACTGAAAAAGGAGCAAGGGAGTGTGCTCCATTAGGGACTGGGCATGGGATAAACCTGATGGAGAAACTAAAGATTCCAGGTAAAGCAAAACTAGATGCGTGCCACAGTCCAAGCTAATGGTCCGGCTTTTAGTAGCGGACTCGGTATCACAGGATTTCATTGCCCAGTTAATCTCATCACATATTTCCAGCACATGAGTCCATGATTACCATCTCACCCATTAAATATTGCAAAGAAAATCTTTCTCTGATCTTCTGGTACCCAATTGCCAGAAATAATGACCTGGAAATCAGGTTTTCTAACTCGTGTTCATCTACAGCAACCCCTCTTCTAGGGGTGGATGTAGCCCAGTTCATTTTGCTGCCAGAACACGTGTATTTAGTCACCATACAACTTGCAAAACAACATTGTAATCCCATTGCCTTTTAGAGTCCGTTAGTATCGCTCACTCTTAAAGCACATCCCACTGCCACAGCTCAAGAAATGTACATGCTAATTATAGTGCTGATTTGCAATTAAAATCATATACAGAAACTATTGCACAACAGATTCAACTGCTTTATGGTAGTTTGCCCCTTGATATTTGAATGCAGGAGCTTGGGATTTGAGACATGCATGGGGTTATTGGGAATATTTGCCCATTTTTGGTCCACCTCAGCATGTAATATATAATTTATGCTATATATGTCTCAGTTTAGGGTATGTAATGTGCTAGCTAAAAAACCTGGATGCTATCTAAAGGGTATTGTGTTGTTAAAAGCTTCGTATGTCTGCAAAGGAACATCTTTTGGAACAGATGGGCTACTGGGGGCTGTTTGGAAAGGGAGGAGGTGATGCAGCAGTTGTGGGACGGCTCTTTGCACTGCAGGGAAAGGCACAGACCTGGGAATCTGTGAGTCAAGCAAAAGGAACAGATGGGGAGGAAGGCAGCCGGGTTTTGAGGCTCTTTTCCTTGTGTTTCTTTGCATAGGAAAGATTCTCAAGAGTAAGCAAGAGGAATGAATGCATGGCAGCCCTTCAACACTATCTCCTAATGTCTGCCTGGCTTTAAGCCATTCCACTGAGCCCTCTTCCCAAGTGGAGGCAGCTAATTCCCAAGCTGATCTGCACCCAGTGCTCCAGGCTATATCCCCAAGAGAGAAAGGTATTGCAGGGACTCCCCTGGAAGACACACGCAGTGAAGCACTGCAGTTAGATCAGCAGGTATCAAAGGGAAAAAGCAGCTTTTTCCTGCTTGGAGCAGCTTGAATAGACCCAGCAGAAAGAGGTGGCTGCAGGCAGGGGCTCAGTCCTGATGGACATGTCTCGAGTGCCTCTCAGAGGGCTCAGAGCCCCATCCCTTACACTCCCAGGCCTGGAGGGATGCTGGGCACAGCCTCCCCTATCCTTCACCTCCGCAACTGCAGAGCTGGGTAGCGCTGTCCTCAAAAGGCAATGGGAAAATGAATCCGTTTGAGGTGCTCAGATTCTACCTTAGCAGGCCAGCAAAAGACCTAATACCCTGCTCCCAGGCTTGTTTTCAGTGCTCCCTGCTGGTTCCAGCATGTGCTTCCCAACGTGGCGAGACGCAGTCAGCCGAATTAATGCGAGTATTGTGCTGAGTAACCAACAGTATTATGAATTAACCCAAGGTTCCCGTTAACCTTTTAAGCCACTTGTGTGGCTCTTTGAGCACGCACAGCGCTATCAAGATGCTAATGGGGAATTAATCAGATCTTCCTCCCAAACAAAGGACCGCTGTGGCTGAAGTGGGCAGCCCAGGGTGAGGTCGAGAAGTCGTAAACTATAGAGCTACCTGTGCTTATTAATATGTTCATGACGTTACTGAGGTGAGTGTTAAGGAACTATTACCAAGTCAGACAAATGTGGTCCTGCTGGAACTGCAGGAAGTGTGATGAGTGGTGTTTCCTGGGGAGGAATGGGCAGAATTGGGGCAAGTAAAAGAATTTTCCTCCCATAAGGGGAAATAGATAATATATATAAAAATATGAGTAATTTTGTGTCTGTATCTCTATATATGCATGTGTGTATATATATATGGAGAGATCATAGAATGGTTTAGGATGGAAAGGACCTTAAAGCTCATCCAGCTCCAACCCCTGCCACGGGCAGGGACCCCTTCCACTGGAGCAGCTTGCTCCAAGCCCCTGTGTCCAACCTGGCCTTGAGCACTGCCAGGGATGGGGCAGCCACAGCTTCTCTGGGCACCCTGTGCCAGCGCCTCAGCACCCTCACAGGGAAGAGCTTCTGCCTAAGAGCTCAGCTCAGTCTCCCCTCCCAGGAGGCAGCTGAGGAGGGGAGGTGCTGTTGGAGACCAAGGGCTTGAGGCAGAGATGGATCCACTGCAGGATCAGGACCAGCCCCGGGGCAGGGGGGAGCGAGGATCCAGGTTTCACGCTCCTCAAGTGATGCAAAACCCTTTTCCTCTCCTCAGTACGAACAGATTCAAGAGATGCACAATCAGAAACACTGGGACATTCAAGCCAGGCCTGGGCTTTGAACCAACTCTGGCAGGAGCAAGACCCAGGTCAGACCCCAGTGACCCAGGAAATATCAGCCCAGGCTTCCCTGGGGAGATGCTGCTCCCCCTTCATTGCAGACATCGGGCTCCCAGCAGCATTTGCCTTCTCACCTGAAAGCTGTCACTGTGGGCACCCTGCCCACCCCCTGGGCTTCCCAGAGTGTCAGCCTTGGGCACCAGCATCGGGAGGGAAGGTATCGAGAGGTGGGCAGAAGGAGCGGTGCTGCAGTGCCTGCAAGCATCCCGAGGGATGCACTGTGCTTCCCCAAGGACCGAGGTGTGTATCCTTGCCAGCACCCTGCTTTTCCTGCTCTTCAACCTAAAGCCAAACCTGCTTCTGCCCTCTCACTGTACCCATGGGGTGTAAAGCTTTCCCACAAGGATAAAGAACGCTTCTTGCTCCTCAGAGAAGGTCTCTGAGCAACCCTGTGTCTGGGCAAGAGGAGACAAGCGGCCTCAAGTGTGTGAGCAATGCTGGACCTGCTCCCTCCCACTCAACAGAAAGCAGATGAAGAATGTTTTCAGGAGATTAAAGACTCTTTCCTGCTTATTTGAGGCTTGCCAGAAAACAAACACACCTTAGGCCTGCCTCCCATTAGCAACCACTAACACAAACAGAGAGACCAAGTGAGTGTCTGATGGATGAATTAGCTTCCCCTACCACAGGCCATTCCCATCACCTTACAGGAAACTCCTTCTTGCACCAGTCAAGCCAAGCTGGCATCAAGAGTCCTGTTGGTGTTGAGTAATTAACCTTGAGTGGAACGAGCCCAGGAAAGCCAAACGGTGATTACACATCTCATTGGAGCTTGGATGCTTCCTAAAGGGCTCACACTGATCCCCACCAGCCAGCCCTGGCTCCTGCAGCCCTCACTGCTTTTTGCTCTCCGTTTGGGCAGCATGCTTAGCATAAATCATGGTTTGCATGGGGAAAGCCAAGTGCTCGACACCAGGGTGCAGCTCAGCATCGCCCTGAGCACTGTGGCTTTCCATATCCTCCTTGCCGCAGCCAACCTGCAAGGGCTGCTTGCCACCCCTCCCATTGTAATCAGCTGGGGCACTGGGAGAGCAGTGCACACCCTTTCTGACCGATGGGGATCCGTCCCCTCTGGGAGACAGGGTTGAGAAAGCCCCCCTGGGTGTCCAAAGGGGATTTGCTTCCTTGGGGAGACATCTCCCAGCCTCCCCACGTGTGCAACCACGGAGAGTCAAGGCTTGTTATTCTAAACCAAAGCTCTTTCATCCTGATAAAGTCCAGATGCTCGTCATAGCTGCATTAGTCACAAAACCACCCAGGAATCCATCTCCTATAAGTGCAGGGCTCCTGAGCTGCCCAAAGCTTTCCCAAACCCAAAGAAAATCAGCAATCCCACGTGTCTCAAAAGTAAATTACCCTTCAAAACCAAAAAAAACCCCACATTTAATAACAACCAGCAGAGAATGAACAAAGAAATAATCCATTATCCCTAGTTGTATGGAAAGCAGCAACACAGCTGAATAAACCCATCTCTTCAACCCACACCCAGAGAAGAGGCCCCAACCTTCACAAGCAACTTCTGGCACAGGAATGAGGAACTAAAAGTCCATTTACTCACCACAGCCCCGCCGATCCCTGCAGCAGCTTCCCTTGACCTCGTGGTGCAGGCAAAGACCATCAGCACCCACCATGGGTAGGGTGGTCCTTCCACCCCATCACCTGCCTCGTTCACGCATCCCAGGCATCACCTGCAGGGGCTGGAGCTGGGACAAGCTCTTAGGGCAAAGCAAGAATGGGGACAGCACACACATGGTCTATGAGCTGCCAGCTCGTGCCCCGGGCAGTGTTGAGTCTGGCTCTTGCTCTCTGGTTACCCCATATAATGTGTTCAACGCTGTGTCCCAGACAGCTGCAGTGTAAGGATGTGTTTGCACATTGCTCTGCATGCCAGAGCAAGGCAGTAGGGGCTGTTTTCCCCTCTGGGTGTCTCCAAAAGGGAGAAGAAACTCCATCCCATCCCATCTGATCCCACCGTGGTTCTTCATACCCCTCTCACTTGTGTCCCTCCATCCCCACAGCACCTCCTCCCTTCCCACCGTGTCCAGGGGGGCTTCCCAAAGACCTAGATCCTTCCCAGGGCTTGGCACACAGTCATGGGAGAGCCAGGCAGGCTCTGAGCCAGGAGATCCGAGCTTTCCAGAGAGCTTCTCCTATGGGTGGAGAAAATGGGAGTAAAAGCCTGAGATTGCACCTCTGCAGCCCCACAGGGTGACCCCTCTTAGTGCTGTGCTCCTCCCGGGGGGGGATGCTTGAAGTGCAGCAGATGCTTGAGGGCCAGAGCATGCATACATAGGGTGCAAAAAAAGGTGGTTTCCTGGTTGTCACAGGGCTGCCAGAATATGGAAGAACGTCCATAAATCCCCCCAAATGTTTGTCACCCTGAGTACAGGCAGGAGACACATTCCCAGCTTCTGGCCACCGGCCCTCAAACACCAAACCTGGGGGGCAAATTGCCATAGGAGTCTCCAGAATGATCCTATGGGACAAAGGAGCCCCCAGAGCTGTGCATCCCATCTCCTTGTGGGTATCTCTTCAGCAGGCCGTGTTGACAGTTGTCCCGTTGGAGCATCCTGACGCCACCCCACCATTTACTGCACCATCCTTGGTGTTCTTCTCTGAGCCTGAGGCAGGTTTGTGTCTCTCTTGCCTGGTAATGGCTGTTTCAATGCCCCTGAGACACAGGTGCACATCCTCCCGAAAGGATGGGGTGTACAGCCCGTAGATGACAGGGTCGGTGCAGGTGTGCAGCAAGCCAAAGAGGAAGAAGCTGTGGTTGACATACTCCGGCATCTTCTGGATCATGGCTGGCTGGAACCAGTACCACAAGCCCAGGAGGTAATACGGGGTCCAGCAGATGATGAAGGTGGCAACAATCACTATGGTCATCTTGAGAGTCTTCATGCGTGCCTTGGAGATGTGGTCACTTTGATGTCTTACCAAACCTGCCAGGGAGAGCCAAAAGGGTAGCGGGAGATGGGGGAAAACCAGGAGAACACAACCATCCATGGCTGTGCTTCTGCCAGAGAGGGGACCCCAGCTCTTGCTCTGGTCTGTGGCTCACAGGAGGCAGAAGACAGCAAGGAGAGGGGGTCAAGAAGTTCATGTAAAACCCTTTAGTTGGGGTTCAAAGGGTGGTGGGACAGAGCCAACAACGCTCCAGGCTGGAGCAGGTTCAGTCATGGGGTCATGGTGGACACCGAGGAGCTGGGACCTGCTTACCTTTATTGATCTTTAGCTGCTTGCTGACCTCCCAGATGATCCGGGTGTAGCAAACGATCATGACGCTCAGGGGGGTGATGTAGAGGGTGGTGAAGGTGAACATGTTGTACACGGTCTCCTCCCAGTGTGTCCGGAAGCTCCCGTGGGTGACACACTGGGTGAAGTTCCCTCCTGGGGCCGTCTGCAGGTGGAAGAGGAAGAGCTGAAATGGAGAAACAAATATTAACTCAGAGAGCCTCCGGAGCAGGGCACCACATCCTGCAGGATGTGCATGGACAGCACCGCCCTGCTGCTGTTGGGATGGGAGGGGTGCTCTGGGCACCTAACTCATGGCTATGGCCAGGATGGGTGGGATCTGGTGGCTCTGAAACCCCATTTCTTGGCTGTACCAAACGTTATTTTGGTGAGGATCTGCTCAGGTTTGTCTTGGTTTGCCCCGACATGTAATATCCTGATTTGCAATGGGTGCTATAAGGAACCCAACGCAGTAAACTCACTCCAGAAAGCCAATGTGGTGGTGGTGGAACCAATGGATTGGAACAGACTCGCTGGGACGGTCAGGATGGGGAAGCCCTGCTCCAAACCCACCCAGCTTGGGCAAACGACATGGGGAGAGGGCCGAGCCCTACCTGGGGTGAAGCCAGGAGCACGCTGCCAGCCCAGGCAGCGCGGAGCAGCAGCCCATTGCGGCGGCGAGCGCGGGAGAAGGGATGGAGGACGGCGGCGTGCCGGTCCAGGCTGATGACCACCAGCACCAGCGCGGCCGCGTACATGGCAAAGAGCTTGAGGAAGTTGAGGAGCTTGCAGGAGAGGTCCCCTCCGTACCACTGCACCGTCACGTTCCACACCGCGTCCAGGGGCATCACCGCCACCGTCACCAGCAGGTCGGCCAGTGCCAGGCTGAGGAGCAGCGGCCGCACGTGGGATTTCCTCCTCTTCCTCAGCAGGCTGCCCAGCACCGCCGCGTTGCTGCCCGCCGCCAGCAGGAAGAAGATGACCGTGATGATCACCCGCACCCTCGCCGCTTGCGTGAACCGGGGCTCGACCCAGCGCTCGGGGCAGGTGGAGGATGAGGCGTTGGCATCCTCCGCTATGACAGGGAGATGGGGAGATGGGGGAAGCCGCTCGTCACCCATCCCCTGCTGAAACACAAGCAGCAACATGAACCCCTGTTAGGGGCTGTGTGTTGTGCTGCGGCTCCAATATAAGGGTGGGATCGGCACTGGAGACACCAGCAACGGTGCCCCCATCCCGGTCCGTTCCCTCTGTGTTGCCTGTTTCGCCAAGCCACCGCATCTCCCAGTCGTGGTGACACTGCCTGGCTGCCCTCCTTGGCGAACCCCTGCCGTAGCTATAGAGATTGCTCACACAGAAGTGTATTTTTAGCTCTTTGCGAGGTGGGTGAGCAGCTGGGAAGCAGGACCGGTGGCCAGAGCTAAGGGATGAGCTGCTGCCCACCAGCACCCGGCCAGGAATGGGTCACACTGGAGCTGGCTGAGCCTGCGCTGGAGCAGCTGGTTCAAGGACTTGCTCTTCCAAAGGGGCTTTGCAAACAGGGATCAGCTTTTTAGGGGCACCACGACACGTTCCGTTAGTGTGTTAAACCTTAATGGTCCACCTCTATCTCCAGCATCACATCTGGGACCATGGGTGGGAGCAACTGGGGGTGGTCAGGAGGTGGGGAGGGGGACCCAACACTGAGGACTGACTGCCTCTCAGGAGAGGATCATGGTGGCATTTAAAAGCCTGGACCTTACCACAACCTGAGCATCACCAGCTCAACCCCTCTTGAGGTCCCTTTGCCTTTGGGAGGTGAAGCAGGGAGAGGAGGTGAAGGTACAAAAGCACCCACATGGGGGGTGTCTGGGGGTGATGAGCAGTGTGGTGGTCCCCCATGGCTTGATTTTGGTGCCCTTTTTGCCCAAGCACAACAGCATGGAGACAACTTATGTTTCAAGGGCAAATACTTCCAGCTGTCAGGGACACGAGCTGTTAACAGTCCCAGCTGCAGGCAGGGTAGGGCTCTCACTGTTTTAAGCACTTTCTGCATTCCCTACCTTTGAGCAAATAACAGGAGCAGCAGAGATCAAATCTGTCTCCCCACCTCTGCAGGATGGAGATGCCAATACTGTGCAGCAAGCTGCCCTCCTCCAGCCCCACAACCAGCACCCCAAGCCCCTTTGCTGCCCTCACCCCCCTCCCTCCCCACACACCGACCCAACAAGCAAGCAGCAAAAAGGAGCAGTTTAAAAGTGCCAAGCTGCTTGCAGGCTCTGTGGAAGGAACAAGGGGAAACCTGTGTCCAGGTCTGCATTAGTCCCAGCTGATGGGAACATACCTGGCATACACATGCCCTGACGCTGAGAGAGGATGCTCCTTGTCCTTCCCCACGGGTCTCCCTCCGCTGCGGTGCCGAGTCAGGATGCTCCAGCGCGTCTTTGCATCACAGCCCTGCAACAAACCCCTTAAAGCAGCAAAATCTCCCTTTGCGAGCCAGGAGCGACGCTGATTTTAGCACAGGCGAACGCAGGCATCTGGAGATGGCAACGCCGATGCAAACATCCCCTGGGCTGGCAAACCAGGAGGTGGGCACCCGTGGGCAGGCAGATGGTGATGCTTCACCCCTGCCCTTGCAGGCTTAAGGAGCTGCTTGGTTTCAGGCTTAATGAGCAGGCAGCAGCGTGATGACAAAGCTGCTGTATCGCAAGGAATGGCCAGAACTCAAGGTGCATTGGCCAAATGTGGCCCCATGAGGGATGAGTGCCAGCACTCCCTGCATCAGTTTTCTATAAATACAGGGAAATGAGTTAATTATCCCTGGAGTTAGTGATGAATATCCCGTTGCTCAGACAACCAGGAGACTCACAGCACACACAGGCACACACGTGCCACAGCGATGCTCCTGGACCACACAGGTCCATAGGAGCATCACAGATGAACACAGGAATGTGCTTGAACTGGAAATGCTGTAAGGAGGGAATTAACGAGAAGCAGCTTGGGTTATTTTTCCATTTTAATGAATATCCCTCTCTTTTCTGTGCTCTATCTGATCCCACCTTGTTCTTCCTTTATTTCTTTCAGCATAATGCAGTGAGAGCTCAAAGTGAAACCCCAGGAGGGACAAACAGCTCGCAGGAGCTTAATAAATATGATGTGCAATGCAAGGGCAGGGAGGGAAACTGAGGACATCCCGCTCCTCTGGCCAGCAAGAGTGAATGAGCTGTGGGGATGAGAGAGGACCAGCCCCAAGCCCTGCTGGGGCCAGCACCAGCGAACACTCCCCCATGAACACCACAGGGACTTTAATTACATGCAAATAGAGCTTCACAACTCCTGGTCTATTACATTAAGAAGTACAGGGTGTGCACGGGGACTGCAGGTCTCAGGATGGAGGTGGTGGGTCTATGCTGTTCACTGAAAAGAGGAGGTTCCCTTTCTGGGCTAGCAGGTTTTCCATTATTAAATCTATTCCCATTTATCCCTGGGAGGAGATGCCTGAGGTCTCACTGGGGTTGCACCATCTCTGCGGCTGCTCTGCTAGCAGGAGTGCTGCTGCACACAAGCAGAACAAGGGAACTTTCCCCCTTTGTGGGTTTAAGAGTCCAATTGTGTTGCAGAGACCAGCTCCTGAGACCCAGGAGGGGCACCACCATCCATCAGAGTCCCCTAACCCCCCATCACTTCTGCACTGAACCAAAAAGGATCAAGCTGGAAACTCAGAGGGTAATCCATGTATTCAAAGTGCAGGACCCAGTGCACCCAGTGAGCACCACCCTTTGCCATGTGCAAAGGGACTGTCCCCATCACCTCCTTACCTGGTAGGGGCATCATCCCCCAGCACTGCAGGAAAGCCGGGGGGGGGAGAAAAGGCACAAAACCCATAAAGAAGCTGCGTGGAAGCCTGTTTGTTCCAGCAGCCACCTCCTCCTGGCGTTAGGCCCCTGCTTAAAGCTGAGATTAAATCGGCCCCACATGCTCATCCCTATTTTCCCTTTCATTTAGCTCGTTGCACCTGCATGAAGGCAATTGAATAGTGAGTCAGGAATGTATTCCCTGTTTGTCCTCCTTCCTGGCTGGCTGCCTTTTTGTCTAGAAATGTCCTCTCCATCCCGACTGTATGATGTAAGAGAGGGACAGGATTTTTCTGGGGGCCTGTAAGCCTCGCTCATGCCACAACAAAGCCTTTGGTCCCTGTTCAGAGAGGATGTTTTTAACATGCCATCACGCAGAAATGTCCTGGGCATGCGTTAGCAATAAGTCTTACTGGAGGGTGGGGTTCCTCATGAAAATGACTCTTTTCCTCCGGTGTTTGCACAGTAACCCCCTTGTGTTTTCCCTTGTTTCTTTTTTCCCCTCCTCTCCTCAAAGGTCAGCTTGGATGCTGTCTGCTCAGCAGCCTTCAGCTGAAGCTCTGAACACTGGTTTAATAATCAGAGGGTTTTGGTCCCTGGGATTAGGAAACAGCGCTGGCAGACAGGGCTTGTTTCCATACACCCCAGCCTGGCTCTTCCCAAAATCCCCTCCTTTTGGGATGCTGCCCCAGTACATCCCTGGAGCTGCAGCCCAGCGCTGGGTCATGGGGCGCCAGAGCATCTCCTGGCATCCCCAACTAGGATTTTTCTCCCCAAATCCGCACAGATCATCCCGGGATGCTGAAGAAAACAGAAACTAGGAAGCCTCAACAGGTACTACAGCCCCAGCAGCAATTCTTGCATGAGCAGACCTTAAAGAGGAAGGCAAGTGCTGTGTTTTTCCATCGGATATCCTGTATAAACTGGGATCCCATGCAGGGAAAGTGGCACGGGATGTAATTTCCATTAGCCGAGTGCAAACACGTGGCAGGGAACCTGCTGCTGTTTGTGCTCCTAAATCACCACCAGGGTCTTGGCTTCACAAAAGAGAGAGCAATTTGTATTTCACTTCTGAGAGGAGCTCCTGCTGCTGAGTGTTCTGGGGGGGGAAATGACTGCTCTTGTTCCAGCAGAACCATCCTATAGCAGCGCCCATCACCTGCACCCTCACCCCCGGCACCCTCGGGTGTTTGTGCTGGGCCGGCTGCCCAACAGTTCCCCTTTGCTCAGAAAAACCTCATGATTTCAGGGCTTTTAATGCTGATTTTTATTCTCTTATTCCCCCTCCAATTCTTCTCCTCCTCCAAACCTTGAATTGTCCCAGGAGCAGCTCGTCCAAGGAAATTCTTGTCTCATACTGGACCCGAAACAGAAAGTCTAGTCAGGGACATCTGACATGCGATGTTTTTGTGAGTAAATACCAGCGTCCATGAAGTCATTTCCCGGGGTTAGAAATGAGCTCACCTCTGGAACAGCTTCTCTCCTTACCCAAAGTTCACAAGTCAAGCGGTTGGGAAGCTCCCAGTTTTCATCCTCCCCTTGAGAAAACAGCATCGGGGCTGCGTGCGGCGCGATGCTGCCTCCGGTTGCGCACTCCGGACAGGTCCCTGGTGCGACAACAGCCTCAATCCCCTGAAATCCTTCAGCAAAAGGCAGAGGAGCAAAGCTCAGCGGTCACTGGGGATAAACCAGTGGCTCATTCTGCCTGCTCACCCGGCCCTGGCCGCTCTGCCGAGCCTGCCAAGAGGGACAATAATTGCTGTGCCTCATGGGAATAATGTGGGTCATCCTGTCCCCCTCCTAAAAGCCCTTGTTTGAAGCAGAGGGAGGGATCTCTCCTGCCCACCGGGTTCTCTATCTTGGTAAACTGTGTCTGTGGAGCGTTTCTTGGTGCAGTAACACACTCTTTCTGCTTCAGCTTTGTATATGAAAGCCTTGCAGGAGACCTCGCTGGTAAGAGCCATTTCTCCAGGGGTACCATGCCATTGGATGGTGGTGCTGGGAAAAACATGCTCTCAATCCTCAAACCCACTGCAATTCCCATCTTTTTATACCCTGGCTGGTGCTCCTGGTTTTGCTGGACATCCAGGTCACACACCCAGCCAGGACGGTGCAAAGGACAAGGACCCCTCTGGCAGGGGAGCCCAGAGCATCATTCCCAGAGGTTCCCCAGATTTACCCCTTCCGATGCAGAGCCACAGCTCTCAGGGTCTTTCCTCCATCTCTCACCAAGACATCTCCACCAGAGCAAAACCCTCTTTCCCCATCTCTAAACTAGACAGGAGAGAAAAGTGAATCCATCACCCTAGACCAAACCCTAAGGTCAAGCTCCAGAAAACCTGGTGGCCTTTGGTGCTGAGCCCCATTCGATGACCACGAAGCGATAAACCCGGATGCAAGTGTGCATCACCATTCCACTCGTGTTCACCTTTCCCACAGCAGCTTTTCCTTGCCCAGGCTGGAAGCCTCAGCTGAGGGGAATCAATTTGGGAAATCTCATCCAGCACCTTGGTCCTGTGATGCTCCAGTCCCCAGTAAACCAGGAAAATCACCCATAGGGCTGATGGAGGGGCCATGGGTCCCCTTTGGCTCCAGCACACTGACCCAGCCAGGGCTCTCACTGCCCTAACTGGGTATTTATCTTGAGCTGGAAGAAGTTATGAAATCCCGATGTTTTCACTGTGACTAACCCACGGAAGTGAACAATTTTGTCCTTATTTTTGGATGAGTTTTAGTTGCTCCCCTTGTCTTTGCCTTTAGTGCCCTCTTTTATCCTTCACTTCTTTCTACTCCCTTTGGGACCATCGCGATTCTCCAAACATCAAACAGCCTCCTCTCCCCATGTTCCCAGATCGGATTGTGTGTCCCAAAGGCCATATTTCAGCGCTCCCTTTGGATGGCCCTTCCCAAACACAGGCCACATTCAAGGGCTGTTTTCCTCCATTTCACTGGGAGAGAGGTGAGATGTGAGGAAAGCTGAAAGCCCCGTGGGACCCTCTGAGAAGCAGGGAAAACCTCCCCAGCATCTCTTTCCCCTGTGTTTCATGTCTCTCAGCAGTTTTCAAGGCTTAAACCCACCCTTTATGCAGGGACATCACTGATTTCAGGAGGGATCAGTGGCTCAGTGGGGACAGAAGCCCTTAATGCTGAGTTAAGCAAGCCAGAGGAGCATTACTTCTGCTCCACCACCCTGTTCCTACGCTCCTGCAAGAAACCTGCTCAGAGCCAGGCTCTGGGACTGCCCGACCCCGGTGTTTCTTGGGATGAGCATCAGTGCTGACATCTCCCCGTGGCCTGGTTTTGGGAAGCAAAGCTCAAGCCAATGCCGGGAGCATTGCACTGAGTTTTTCTTGGGAAGACCTTATCTCCCGTGCTGCCTTTCCAGCCTGCTCCCGGCAGTTTCCATCTACCCCATTCCAAGGTGCTCACACTGGGATGCTGCCAGCCTTTCCCTTTGCAGTGCTTGCCCCTCACCACCACCCCTGCCTGCTGCTGGCAAACTCACATTTACCCTCTGGGAAAGCTGATACGGCCACAACCGCTCCAAGGGGAATCCCGGCAATGCTGGAATTAGCTCGGCACAGACCGGCTCTTCCGAGCATGCCCTCATGAGCTCATGAGGCAATTTACAGCTCCGGTCGCCCCCATGACCACAGGCGTTCCGGGAAGGGGAGGCGCTTCCATGCCCTCTTTTGCCAACGTGGATGCTGATGAACTCCTTAGGAGTCAAAACGTGGATGGGGATCAGCCCTGATGGCCTCAGTGCAGTAATTAACCTGAGATTAATTCATGCATGGTTCACATATGGCACCCACCACCCGCCTGGCTCCATCCCGGCTCTATCCCTGCTCCATCCCTCACATGCTTTCTGCCCATCCAAGTAAAGTTCCATCCTCACATTCAAAAGCACCTTTGAACTTGACGCTCCCTCTGCTTTCATTGCCATCACCATTGCCTCTGGTCCAGCTTACACAGCCTGCACCTCTCCATGTGCTGCAGTCCTTACAGAGTAGGACAGAGGCATATCATGGTGTGCTGGAAGATCCAAACGCTCCCCTGCACACCCATGGTTCAGGCAGGATTTTGCTGTTTGTTAGGGAAAACTGGCCGGTGCTTTGCTGGTGCAAATCTGCTTGCTTTGACCTGGTTTATAGTAAGAAAATTGAGGTGGAAAAGGCACAGATGAGCCCAAGGGCTGCCATCCCATGGGTGGGAGGCTGCTCTCTCTGCCAGGCATGGGTGCACAGCCTGGAGCACCTCCAAACCCAAAGCTAATTCCCGTAAATAAGAGTAATAAATTAAGGATTTCTTCAGGAGCAATTAATTGCCCAAAGCAACATGTGCTTTGACACAGGATGGTCTTTGTCCACCAAACCGTGTCCAGAGCTAAAGCAAACAGCCAGTGGGCTGTGGGCTGGAGCTCTGTTCCTGCTCTTCCTCCATGGTTTAAATGTCCCCATTGAGGCACAGCCCTGCCTCGGACATGGCCACATTCCGGTTGTGCCCATTCCCATCCTGCAAGTGCATTTCCATCCCTGATCCAAGGTTGTGCAATAACCCAGACCCTGCTGCTAGCCCACATCTGCCGGCAGGATGTACCCAGCCAATATTAGTGTTGTACCAGCACGAGGCACCATGATGCTGCCCTGTGACTATCCCTAAGGAGATAAGGCTCCAAGCACCATGCAGGGAGAGGCTGGGATGTGCATTAGTCATGGAGAGCTTGAAAACAGCAGCCTTTTCCCTCTCACAGAGTTTCTAAATGAGCCTGAATACTTATCTCAATGTCCTCAGCAATGTAATTTAAAAGGGATTTGCTGTTGAGACACTTGTGGTGCTCTCATAACATCTCCCATCTCTGCTCTTCCAAGCTGCAATGGAGAAGGAGACATGTCAGAAATGGAGACAGCATCCAGGAGGGCAACCGCAGCAGGACCCTTCAGTGGTCCAGGATATCCCAATGACCAGCAAACCCCTCTCCAGGCAACGTGAGTCTGGATATGGAGCTGTACACATGCAGCAGGGATACAGATAACAGTCCCAGTGCACTCAGATAACAGCCAGGCACTGCAAAAGCACTAGAAAAAGCCCTTTTTGCATTGATAGCTGGGGTCACAGAGCCCACGTTTACATGCTGGGGGTGTCAGTTATGTGATGGTGCCAGCAGACACTTGGGGGCTCACCCCATGACTGGGCGCTGCAGCCACTTGCTCTCCCCCAGCTCCCCGACCTCCACACCTAAAACAAGTCTTTCCCTGGCTCCTGCCTTCCACTGTGTCCCCCTCCGTGGTGCTTTCTGCATCTCTTTCATAGATGGTGTACGTGGAGCTGAGCCACGGTCAAGGCTTCAGCCTCGGAAAGCACATCCTTCCTGGGGGGAAAGGTCCGCTCGCTGCTTTCCTCCCAGCCACAGCCTGTAAATCCTCACCCACACAATAAACCCAAACTCCAGTAGTTCATTTCTCGGGCTCTTTTCCAAAGCTTTCAGGCAGTTGGAGTGTAATTTTGTGCTGATGAAGCAGTGGGAGAGGGCTGAAGTGGAACAATATTGTGGTGGAGCGAGGTTTGCCGGTGGTTCAGAGCTCGGAGGGAGCCCCAGGGACCCGCCATGTCTCCCAGCTCTCCTACAAACCATGGAAATCGCCAGTCCGGCTCCTGGGATAGCAAAACAGGGCTGAACAAACAACATCAGCCACCCCTGGAGCATGGCTGGAGCAGTGCTGGGAGCCAAGTGCTTCATGAAATCCCAGCTCCCAGCTCGCCCTCCGAAACGGCGCAAACTTCCCCAAAGTGTTTGGGATGGAACAAAGTCATCAATCACTTCTTTTAATTCCCATCTCCGTAAACAGAAGCGAGCCCAGAAACAGGCAGCAGGGGAAAATATCCGTCAGCTCCCTGCGGAGGAGCAGAGAGGGTGCAGGGAGGGAGGACGGAGCAGGCAGCGGGGAACTGAGCACGGCCTCAGCCCCAAAGGGCATCTCAAGGACCCCACAGGGCACTTCATAGTCCCAATAGACTGCAAACCCCATATGCAGCCCTGAGGGCAGCCGCACCACCCAGTCACCCTCCCTGCGTGGTGCTGTCGGGTTTTGGCAACAGTCACTCTGCCAATGCCTTATTGGAAAGGGTGGGAGGCACAAGTAGCCAGGGTGAGCATCACTAGCCAGTTTTCCTCTGGATTTATTGGAGCACCAACCACAAAGGAGCATGGAGAGGGAGATGCTCTTCCACTACATGCTGTCATAATCCTCTTACCCTGCCCCAGCCTCAGCACTGGTGGGGGGAAGCATTAAGCATGGCAACATTCACATAAATACATTAGGGGTTTGTAATCACACATCAGTGATGAAACCATGAAAAAATCCCATGAGAGCTGGGCAGGATCCCCAGGGTTAATCCAGGAGAGGAATAAACCCAAGGGGCACCAACGCTTTGGCTAGGAAACACCAGTCTCAGCTGAACCCTGATGCCATGACCAGAACGATACGAGCAGCTTGGCCTGGGATGCATCTTTCCCCGCTGGCCATGGGCACAGGGCAGCATCCTGCTGGTCCCCATCCCACAGGTCTGGGCGTTACCCACCTCGGGTGGCCGGGAAGCAGCCGCGGTGCAGCCGGTGGTGCTCAGCGCTGGGAACATCTGGGGCTCTGCTCGTGCTGCTCCATCCAGCGTCAGCCACGTGCCAGAGGCGCAGCGAGGGATGGCCAGGCCAAGGGATGTTGCGCAACCGGCCTCTTGTAGAGCCTTGGGTTTCGCATGAACTCACGTGTCCCAGACCTGCTCCTGAAGCCACACACGTGTCTCTGGAGCTCGTCTTGCAGGAGCCATGCTGGAGAGGAGACATCCGTGCTAAGGAGGAGGCACCTGTGCTAAGAAGGATGCAAAATCCCATGCAGAAACAGCCATGCTGTGCTGGAGCTATCACCTGGGTTCCATGACATACAGAACAGCACCTTTCCTTACCCCACACTGTGACCCATGGAAACTGATGCCAGCACCAGCAGGACCATAGCTGAGGCACTGGTGTTGTGCTAAGGATGGGCTGGCCATGGCAGGAGGTAGGTGCCATCAGGGATAGATGAATCCCTTACTCCCTGTCTCGGCACCTTTCCCACATCCCATCCTCATCGCAGGAGGGAAACGCAGTGAGCTCCATGTTGATCCCGCAGGTCCATGTTTATCCCACTGGATAAACAACCTGCCATCTCTTGGCACGTCCCCGCTGTGTTTTCCTTGTCCCTTGTAAACACCAACAGGAGCTGGTGCGGGCACCACCAATCATTCCTTACGTGACACCTCCATCTGTGTTCCTCTCGCACCGCTCCCTCTGGCAGCGGGGCCGGCAAGGATTACTAAGAGGCAGCCCAAGGCTCTGCTGGCACATCCCGTACACCACTGGCTGCCCCAAGTCCCATCCCCAGCCTTCAGGGACAGCTCCTAACATGTAAAGCACAGGCTGCCACACCAGGCTCCTGCACAAACAGACAGCACAGCCCCACGGTGCCCAGGGCTGTGTGCACGGGTGGCACACACTCACGCATGGCCATATGCTTTGTTCAGCACCCAGGAGCCCTGAGCAAGGACTATCTGCCATGGGCACATGGGAGAAATGTGGCTGCACAGGGAGAAAGGACCTGGGGGGGCTGAAGCCAGGCTGGGGCAGGTGGGGAGTTCTCATTAGGGTTTGTTGATACATCTCCTTACGGCTCAGGTGGGATGCCGTCATATTTATGTGCAAGGATGGACCTGCCTCTGCCTCTCTGTGATACCCCATGTGTCCAGACCAATCCATCTGGCTTTGTCCCATATCCTTGCATGCCCCAGCATCCTCATTTGACCCCTGCCAGAGCCAGCACAGGGGCAAAGGCCCGCAGGCAGCACAAGCAGCACAGGGAATTGTGTCCTGCTTAGCCCTGTAAAATGTGGGAACTCCATGGGGTGGGGGTTTTGGCCCAAACATTTGTCCCAGATCAAGCAGGAGCCAAAAAAGCATCCCCAAAACTCTTTTCACTACACGCTGTACTCTCTATTTTCATCTTCAACACTCAGCAGCACCTAATTTGGATCCAGCCCCAAGGTGAGCCCCTAACAGCGATGCTCTTGTGCTGGGCCGCGGTACCCACACCGCAGCACCCTGCCACACCGCGGCATCGCCGCCAGCCCCCGGGGCTGCAGTTTCACCCAGGGTTTGTGTTTACCATCACCTCGTTAAGGGATTATTCAGCCTGTGGTTTCCTCTCTCGGCCGGTCTGTTTGTGCTCGGCGGCCGGTGGCTCGCTGCCATCCCCTAAGCTACACGCCGGGCTATATAAGCGCCTCGCTGCCTCGGCTGCGGGAGGCTCGCTCGCAGCCCGGCTCGGCGGCGGTGCACGGCAGGGCTTGGTAAGCAGCAACTCTCTCTTCTCCTTCCCAACAGGCTGCAAATCCCCTATGCCACAGCGGTCAAACCCTCGCCTCGCTCCAGGGACCGCAGCTCCGTTTGTGGTTCCTTGGGGAGAGGATAAGACGCTCCTTAATGGGGGTTTTATGGGTTTTGTACTAAGAGCAAATAAACCCCAACTCTGCTCAGTTTTTCCCCTTCGTGGCAGCTCATGGTTATGTAATATTGCTGTGCTATTAAGGCTGTGGAATTAAGAGCAGCTGTGATTGAGGGTGAGGTGGGTATTAATTGATGGGCAGATGAAGGTGCAGAGGTTGCGGGCTGGGAAACTTTGATGGGGAGGTGGTTGCCCATGTCCTGCTTCTCTCTTCCTCATGCAGCTAAGGGGTTTGGGGCAGGGTTAATGGGGATGCCGGAGTGGGATGTTGGGGGGTTACAATAGTGCTTTGCTCATAAGGGGCTGTTTGATTTCTTGTGGCTCTGTCCCACACCGGCTTCCCTGCCAGAAAGGGGATACAATGCTCAACGCTCCCTCCCACCAGGATCCGGCTGCTGGAACCCCCCCTTTCCCAGCATCACATGTCCCTGGGCCAGAGGGATGTATCCCATCCCAAACCCAGCACTGAACAAGTCACAGCCAGCTCCCAAAATAGCTGCCGAGTGGGAAACAGGCTTTCAGGCTGGATTAATTTTTCCTGGTTATTGTCTGGCTGCGAGTTCACAACCCCGCCGTGAGCCCACAAAACACGGCTCATGTGTTGCTTGTTATTTTTGCTTGACTGGGATTTGCTGAGCCATAATCAAAGTAGTTCCTAGTCCCGCATTCCCTGGTGTCGCTGGGGAAGGTTAAAACTGCTTACTAATGACAGGGTGCTCTCGCTGCCGGCTGCTCTTTGTCAGCCTTGTTTTATGGGTAAACTGAGGCACTGAAAGGCTGGGGCAACATTTCACTGTGCCAGGCTCATTAATTTTGGGTGCATAAAATAAAGCATCTGATAACACCAGCTCCGTGGGTACCTTCAGGGATTAAATAGCCAAATGCTTGGTGCCGCAGGGCTAAGGGACTTGCTTATAGCAAAATCTGAAGTGGCTGAGCTGGGGGAGAGCAACACAGAGCCTCAGTCCCTCATCTGTGTGCAGAAAAGCTCCTTGCTCACATTGGCAGGAAAGACTTGGCTTGTGCATGGGATTTTCCACTTTCAGAAGCACTTGGGAGCCTTCCCCCTCCCCACGCTCCTGGAACACACTGGGATACGATGCTGTCCTCACACTAAGCCCAGTGTGCAGGCAGAGGGATGGGGGCATGATGTCTCTGCTCACGTGGGGAGCAGAGCGGGGGCCCATGGAGCCACATGGGCTGCAAGAGCATCCCTGCAGAAGTATTTAAGCTGTTAAAAGGCACTTTAAGGAGACGTCATTACAAAGCAGCGCTCTGCAGAATACATTTGGGCTCAGATGTGACAGTGAGAAGCAGAAGGGATGCCACTGCAGATGTGGAGAAGCCCCTTCTGCTCCCCCCTTGGGAAGCTGCTGTGGATAGGTTGGAGGGGGAATGAGCAGCTCCAGTTTTGGGCTGATTCAGCCTTGGAGATGCTCCCTGAAAGCAGCAGGACCCTGGGTGAGCCTCGACACAGCTGGGTTTGTCTCTGCAGGGCTGGCACGACTGAGGGTACTCCAAGGAGCCCCAGTCACCTCTGGAGACCATGGTCACTGTGAAGGAATGGATCCTCCTCCTCCTCCTGGGAGCCACATCCGTTCTAGGTGAAGGTTACTCCTTTCTATCCCGTCTCTGCGCTGTCCCTGCCCGCGGGCACACCAGTGTGAAGGCACGTCTGTCGGCGGCTGCTGAGCCAGCAGACACGGGCCCGACATCAATGCCGGCTGCTGCTCTGGGTCACTGCAGTGTTTGCCTGGCCAAAGGACTTCCAGATGAGGGCTGGCACCCACCCAGCCCGCAGAGCATGGGCAAAGCCTGTCTGAGAGGCAGGCAGCCTCTGGTTAACCATGGATAAGCCCCCATGCTGGGACCATCCCTGGCTGAGCCTGCACTCCAGCTCCCCTCTGCTCTGAGCAGACCCACCCTGGCCAGTGCCTTATCCATCACCCGAGCATGCAACAAACCCAGCCTCCAAGCCAAGCCCTTGGGAAGCATCACTGTGGCTCTTCTCCAGGAGAAGATGCTCAGGAGCAGCAGAATCTGTCTGCTGGCTCTGCAGGGTTGCACATACCATAGCACTGAGTGATAAGCAACCTGCCCCTCTGCGCCGGTGGTCTAGTGAGGGAACGTGTTTGTAGGCTCCTTGGGTTTGTCTTTCAGGGCTATAGAGGAATTTTGCCCTGAAGTGCTCTGGCCAGACACCTGGGTTAAAACAGGGAGAGCCAATCTGTGGCTGGGGAGGTGCCCAGAAGCTCTTGCTGAGACCCCAGGAGTTCAGAGCCACTGCTGGTCAGCTTCAGGCTTATCTCCCTAGTTAACGTGGGATGGGTCCACCAGCCACAACCACCAGCTCCCCTTGGGCACACAGCCTGCCAGCAAGTGCAGAAACCAGTCTATGTCCCATAGCAACAACCAGCCTCATCCACTTTGGGCTCATTTCTCCCCACACAGGGAGCGGCAGGGTGTACTTTAGATCTCCAAAACCAAGAAGATGATTTGATCTGAGCTGCTCCACCACAGAAAGCACAAAAAAGCTTTCCTTGGGTGCTAAGGGAAATGGCAAATTTGCATCATACCTGAGGTGCAGCGATGCCGTGGGACATCTCCATCACACCCTTCATTTGGCATCTCCTGCCCTGCATCCCACAGGAGCTCTAACCTGCGGCTCTCCCCAGCCACAACCCAAAGGGAAAGCTGAAAAACTGATCCTAAGCGTGCCCAATCCCTTGAGTCTAATTAATTTATTGTTAATCCAATTTAATCTCTCATTCATTAACCCTTAGGTCAAAGGCTTCTGAAACCAGCCCTTGGCAGGATCCAGATAGGACAGAAAACCTTCAGCCCGCTGGTAATGCTCAGCTTGGAGAGTAAGTTGTTCCCAGCTGGGGTGGCTTTCCCTCATCAGGACAAGGGGTGTTTGCACACGTATTAGGGTTTTTTCAGCCTCAATTTACAGCCAAACACTATTATTTGGGTAGATGAGGACATTTAAGCAATGGAATAAATGCTAACCATCCGCGACCTCCTGTAGGGTTCTAGCTATCGCTGACACACGCTGTTGGCTCCTCTCCTGGAAAAGTGAAGGTCAAGTGCATGACCACAGCCCCGGCTCCCGCGGGAAGCACGCGCGGGCTGGGAGGGCGAGGAGAGCCCAGGGATGGGCAAGAACATGCTCTGACTTGCCCTTCCCCTTCCCAGCCTGTCCCCATGCAGTTGGTGACACCATATAGAATGAAAGCCTGTGGGGTATTAACTACCTGTAGAGCCCAGTCTGCTCCTTAACCCCAAGGAGACATCACAACCCTTTAACCTTTACTGCCCCGGGCTCAGGATTTAGATTCCAGCAGGCACTGTAAGTGCTGGACGTGCTGACACCATAGCTGAGGGATTAAGGGACTTTCCCAGCTTTCTGTCCCATTCCCAACAGCTCTCTTACCTGCTGGGGAGAATCAAAGCACAAAAACATGGACGCTCAGAGAGAGGTTTTCTTCACTTGGTCTTTTAAAGAAAACTTCCAGGAAGATCGTTTTCCCCTCCAAGTGGATGGCACAAGGCAGTGATGCTGAGGCTTGCAGAGCAGGGGCTGACTCCTGCGTCCCTAGGGAGAAATAAAGCAACATACTGAGATTCTGACCAATGCAATTGGAAACTAAAGCTCCTGCCCTTGGCAGCAGTGAGCTGTAAACTCAGGTTTTGCTCTCAGCAGAGGGGGTCCTGGTTGGGTTGAGCAGCCAGGCTCGGTGCAGGGACTGCTGCTCAGCCAAGGAATGGGCAAACCCTGCTTGAACCACCCCGTGCATCCTCTGCCCACAGGTACGAGGAGCAGCTCTCGCCGGGCAGACCCGATCTTCACCTACACCAGACGCAGTATGTGCTGCTGGCCAGTGCCACGGGTCCCTCCCCACATCCCCACCAGTGCTCTGACCCTCGGCTTCTCCCCATCCTCTGCTTTCTGCTTTTTCGAGGTCCTACCCAAAGCCATATGATGCTGTTTTCCTCCCGCAAGCCTCCCCTCCTTTCTCACCATCACCAGCCCTTTCAGTGACCCCAAACAAGCTCAGGATCTCACTGCAACCCCACTTTAATCTCTTGCATGTTAGATTTCTGCTTGGGGAAACACAGACAGACATTTATCCATGTTCTACCACATCCCCAAGCCCACCTCCTCCTGCATCCCCCAAACTGCTGAGTAAGGTCTATGGATGCACCACTCGGGATGCTGAACCGGAGATGCCAACAGATTAAAATCTTGCCCATCTAAGCCAAGAGCTCACTCCAACCCAGACATGACGCTCCCTGGCTGCTCTCATTTAAATAGCCTTCCCCAGCCACCTGCTTTTGTAAGGCAGGGGTTCATTTTCGGTCTTTCTAGGAATGAACCCAACCTGGTTCATTCCAAATGGGGTGGAACAGTAGGTGTGGGAAATGACACAGCACTTATCTTCAAGAAACCTTGTTGTTAGAAACTTTAGTCATGAGCAAATCCTTATAAACATTATTAGAACACTGTCATTTAAAAAGAAACCCAAACCACAGACTTGGAGTGGATCTCATCCATTCAAAGTCACCTAATACCATCTATATCATACCATCTAAATTAATACCATCTAGAGCTGGTGAAAGAAATTCCTTTTAAAATCCAACCCCATATTAAACCCTCAGTATGTTTTACAGACTGTTTTCTGTTTTACAGATCACCTGTCTCCTACATGCTCAGCCTGCTCGGTAGCATCTTAGGCTTCTGTTTTGCACGCAGTAAAAGTGCTCACAATAGGACACACGCTTCCCCTATAGGGAACATATGTTGAAGTATGGTTAAAGACATTCAACATACAAGCAATTTTACTCTTTTTTTTTTGCTTTGGTTTGTTTTTCTTTAACCACATTTGAAACGCAGGCGAGTGTGGCCCCTCAGACAGCATTTAAATGACAATGTGCGTTTGATTTCCTTTAAGCCAAAGTTATTCAACACTAAGCATGAGCTGCGTGCACTTTGCTCCCCTCCAGTTTATCTTAATCAGCCCGAATGCAGTAGCCTGCAGGGAATTAAGTCAGAAGCTTTCAGACGCCTCCTCATGCTTTATTTCCCAGCTCCCTGAACATGCTTTAAGTTTGTTTAATCCATGTGCTGCATAATATCCGAATGCATAGTCTGAGCTCTACTGAAGCTGCTAAGAAAACAGCTACTCATTTTCAGGCAGATGTATGTCTAATGTGCGTCTCTAACACACCACTGATATCATTTAAGGTCCACTGGTGCCAGACTCAAAAAGGTTTTTGTCTCCATGGTCGAAATGGAGCGAGTGCTCAGCAAAGTGTGGCCAAACCGGTGTGCAGAAGCGTACCAGATCCTGCCTAGCTGAGCGCCGCTGGGGCGTGCACTGTAATGAAGCAACTGAGGAAGGGCGGCTCTGCATTGGACATGTTTGCTCAGGTGCTCCTATAACCTCACTTACGGGCAGGGGGTGATGTCCTGATCTCACCACCTCGTAGGCGTTGCATTCCCTTCAATCTCATTTTACGTCTTCCTTTCCCTTGAGAGAATTTTGTGATGCTGGTGCCTTCCCGAGCAGGGCTGGAGCAGAGCGCAGGGAGTTTATAGCCAAATGGCAAGATAAGGGGGGGATACAGATATGGGAAATCATCAGAGACCCATAAAGATCCCAGGGATGCAGGAAAGATCTCATTAAGCTTGTTATAACAGCAGCTCTCAAAGTGGCAGCTGCATCCATGTAATCTCCAGGAAGGAGAAAAGTTGGGAATATTGAATTGCCACAGCTCCTGCATAAGGGGCTTGTAATTCGTTATATTATTCTTATAATCCTCCTTTAGACAAATAATTCTTAAAATAGCCTATGAGAAAAGATAGATTATTATTTGGGATTAATCGCTATAGGTAACGAAAATGTTTTGGAACCACTGTTTGGGAGACCATTTGTTAAACCCATTGGGTAATGCTCATTTGGCATTTACCTATGTTAGTCCTCCCCAAGCCAGGATACCATTGAATAAGGGCAAACAGCCTTTAAGACAGACCAAAATCATGACTTTTGGGCACGAGTTGGTAACTGAAACCTGTAAAGTTTAAGATATTTGGATTTGTAATTTCGCCAGGGTTAAGCTAAGAGCTCACATGCTGATCTGGATTCAGATTTTCCTGAAATCCAGCCCTTTGGGGAAGGTAAATACAGTTCCTAGCTGTAATTATATCCACGTGTCTGCTTTCTACTAATTGTCAGGTTCAGAATCACATGGTCCCAGTGTTTCTAAGGCACAGCTGTTGATAATCAGTAAAAATATGTTTTGGATCCAATTTATTCCTTATGCAGTATCTGCCTTATTGCATCTAAATTAAAAGCAGACACGAGAACGTGCCATGAGTGTTATGAGCACTTGGGGCCACTTTCTGACCTGCCTGTTTCTCCTCCAGCCTGCAACATCACCTGCCCCATGGGCCGTGTCAATGCTGACTGCGATGCCTGCATGTGCGAGGATGCGACCCTTCATGGGAAGGTTTCTCTTGAGGATGGGTCGCCTGCTGCCGATGCCCGGGTCTACCTGCAAGCCCAGAAACTTAAGCTGTTGACAACAGCCGATGACAGGGGCATGTTTAGGATCCCGGGGATCTGTCCTGATGGCAAAAACACCCTTAAAATAAAGAAAGCCAAATACGCAACAGCAACCGTCACCGTGCCTGAGAGCAACAGGAGAAACCTGGCGATCCAAGTGCAGCTGCAGCGATCAGGTAGCCGCAATGAGGTTTTACACAGCAGTAAGAGATAAACTCCAGTTTTAGGAGGGGAAGAGTAATGAGATGGCCTTTTCCTCCCTTGCAGGCAAACCCTATGTTTTCAGAAGCCCTGAGGACAAAGCCAGGAGAGTGGGACAGAGTGTGTCGCTCTGCTGTGATGCCGTTGGGAGCCCGGCTCCTGACCGCTACCTCTGGTAAGAAAGTCCAGTCTGATCAGGCAGAAGTCCTATCTGTCCCATGGATTCAATTTGTAACTCCTTACCATCCCCATAAAGGTGGGGTTCTAGCTATAAACCAGCTAAATACGATGAGAACAAACTGCTGCAAATGATGGTGTCCTTGAGATGTGCAGAACTGGTGTATCTCAGAGGGGCTGTAATGTCATCTGCTGAGGGACTCAGTGCTAAAACACACAAATAAGAGCTGGAAAACCCTCAGCAGGCAGGACTGGCAGTTCTCCTGTCTGCCAACTGTCCAGCAGCCACATCTCAGTACTGCCAGGGGAAGGGGAATAACTTTTAGGTGAAGCCACCTCGCCAGATTACAAACGGGGAAACTGAGGCAAGAGGCCTTGGCAACATCCACACAGCAGGATTAAGGCCATGGCTCTGTCCCCTTAACTGCCTGTTCCTGGCAGGTACCACAATGGCTCCCTGCTGGATCCATCTTTATACAAATACAAAAACAACCTGATTCTGAAGAACCTGAACAGGCACCATTCAGGAGAGTATTTCTGCAAGGCCAGCAGTGCCGGGGGGTCAGCGAAGTCTCAGCCTGCCAAGCTTGCTGTCATAGGTAAGATAAAATGGGCGTGATGCTCTCCAAGCAGCTGGGGAGGCAGAAACCAGGAATTGTGGTACCTGTGGGAAAGAAAAGTCCCAAGAAAAATACTTGGGGCCAAATTCATGCATCCGCTAGCAGATAAGCTTGCGTGAGCTGGCTGGGAACCGGATGCTCTCTACAAGCTGGAGCTCTGCATTGCAGGTGACCTGCCAAGCTCAATCTGCTGGTTTCAGCAGATTTATCACTGTATTTGCTGCCTGATGTGAATATTTGTTTGCTTAGGGGCTTTTCCCTAAACCTTGGGACGCATTTAGTTTCTCCCTAGCCAACAAGCCAGGCAGCTGCAGAACAGCGGAGGGTGGGTTGGATGGCAGTGGTGGGTAAGAAGGAGCTGGATGCAAACAGCACTGCTCTTAATCAGGTACCTAAAGTGAAAGCTGAGCACCTGCTTTACGAAAATGGAGGCCAGATGAATCTACCTAACCAAAATGCTGCAAAAACATCTGGTTTGTGGCTCCGAAACCCTCAATATTATTGGAAACATTTAACTCTGAGGGTTTCAGACCACAAAGCAATGACCACAATTCTTTCGTGCTGCTCATTAAAAAATCCTATTCAACAGGGAGACAAGAGGCAGCCTGCGACTCCCAACCCCAAAGCCACCTCATCCGACTTCCTCATGACTGCTTCCAAAAAGCAACAAACACCTTCTACTATGATGTCGGCAAGTGCCCAGCAAAGACCTGTGCTGGGAAGCTGGATAAGGGGCTCCGGTGTAAGGACAACGTTGCCTATTGCTGCGGAGTGTCCAAGATGGAAACCAGAGACATCTCCTGTGATGGGTACACGCTCCCCACTAAAGTTGTTGTAGAATGTGGCTGCAAAAAATGCACTGAGACCAAAATAACAGTTCGAGGCAGAGCCACAGCAGCAGATAATGGAGAGCCACTGAGGTTTGGCCACATCTACATGGGCAACAAGAGAGTGAGCATGACCGGCTACAAGGGAACCTTCTCGGTCCATGTCCCAGCAGACACGGAGAGACTGGTTCTAACTTTTGTTGACCGGCTGCAGAAGTTTGTGAACACAACAAAGGTTCTGCCCTTCAAGGAAAACGGAGGTGCTGTGTTTCATGAGATCAAGCTGCTAAGAAAGAAGCCCCCTGTTACACTGGAATCCACTGAAACCAACGTGATCTCTTTGGGAGAAATGGAAGAAGATGATCCGATTGCCGAATTAGAGATTCCACCCAATGCATTTTATAGGAAAAACGGAGAAGCCTACAGAGGCAAAGTGAAAGCCAGCGTGACATTTCTGGACCCAAGAAACATCTCAGCAGCTCCTGTGACACAAAGTGACCTGAACTTTGTAGATGAGGAAGGAGATGTATTTCCACTCCGCACCTATGGCATGTTTTCTGTGGACTTCACTGATGAAAAGGGCACCGAGTCCCTTAATGCAGAGGAGGTGAAAGTTCATTTGGATGCTGCTCAGGTGAAGATGCCAGAGCACCTGCAAGAGATGAAGCTTTGGTCCCTGAACCCAGAGACAGGATTATGGGAGGAAGAAGGGGACTTCAACCTGGAGAAAAGCAGACGGCACAAAAGGGAGGAGAGAACATTTTTGATTGGGAACATGGAGATCAAAGAAAGGCGACTGTTTAACCTGGATGTCCCAGAGAGCAGACGGTGCTATGTCAAAGTCCGAGCCTACAGAAGTGAGAGGTTCCTGCAAAGTGAGCAGATCCAAGGTGTTGTGATTTCTATTATAAACACAGAGCCAGAACCAGGGTTCTCCTCCAACCCCAGAGCATGGGGCCGTTTCGACAGCGTGGTCACTGGTCCCAATGGTGCCTGCGTGCCTGCCTTCTGTGACGAGCAGAACCCCGAGGCCTATGCAGCTTATATCTTGGCAAGCATGGGGGGTGAAGAGCTTGAAGCTGTCCCCTCTGCTCCCAAACTCAACCCTAATGCTGTTGGGGTCCCACAGCCGTATCTCAACAAGCTCAACTACAGAAGAACAGACCACGAAGACTCCAACACCAAGAAAACAGCCTTCAGCATTAACATGGCCAAGCCAAGCCCTAATTCCCCAGAGGAGAACAACGGCCCTATTTATGCCTATGAAAACCTAAGAGAATGTGAGGAAGCTCCACACAACGCTCCTCACTTCAGGTTTTACAGGATAGAGGGAGACAGGTATGACTACAACACTGTTCCCTTTAGTGAAGACGACCTCATGAGCTGGACCGATGACTACCTGGCGTGGTGGCCCAAGCCTATGGAATTTAGAGCCTGCTACATTAAGGTAAAAATAAATGGACCCCAAGAGGTGAACATAAGATCTCGGAACATGGGTGGGACGCACCCACGTACCATTGGGAAGCTCTATGGCATCAGGGACGTCCGCAGCATTCGGAGCTCGGAGCAGCGGGATGTGTCGGCAGCGTGCCTGGAGTTCAAGTGCAGCGGCATGCTCTTCGACCAGGACCGTGTGGACCGCACGCTGGTCAAAGTGGTGCCTCAAGGCAGCTGCCGCAGGGAGAGTGTCAACAGCATGCTCCACGAGTACCTGGTGAACCACCTCCCCATGGCTACCAACAATGACACTAGCGAGTACACCATGCTGGCTCCTCTTGACCCACTGGGACACAACTATGGCATCTACACCGTCACCGACCAAGACCCGAGGATCGCCAAGGAAATCGCCTTGGGTAGGTGTTTCGATGGCTCATCTGATGGCACCTCCCGAACCATGAAGAGTGATGTTGGTGTGGGGTTGACTTTTACCTGTTCGGAGAGGAGCGCGGCAGAGCAAAGCATCTTCGAGTCTCAGAGGAACTCGGGCCAGCAGTCCATACTGGTTCTGCCAGGGGAGAGCCCTGCGTACCGAAGGCAGCCGGCAAGCCGCCAGATCCCACAGAGGAGGATCCCGATGAGAGGTCAACGTCCTTCTGGATACTAGAGCTGCAAAGGAGCCTCGGTAAAGTTGTTCACACTTGATGAAGTATAATTTGAAAGTAAAACCTACCTGCTAACAACAGAACCCAAAGCTGGTAGGTGTCATTATTTTTGAGACATAATGAAGGTGCACTTTTTTCCTCCACCAGAAAGACATAAGGCAAAAACTGGGGGCCAGTAGCTGTAGTGAGTTTGTGTCTTATTAAATGCATCCATAAAAATCTTCTTTCTGCCTGACATTAAACAGCTTCGTATGATAGCCTAAAGGGAAGACTAAACACGATTCAATTAAGTCATGTACATAAAACACCCTTCTGTTCTGCATCTGCAGACTTTGCCAGCCCAAGTACCTGTACAGTAGTTGGTAACATGAAAAGGAATAAACTGATTTCCTCATACTGAATTCAACTGCGAGGTTTTGTACTTGAAATGTAAGTATTTTATTTATTTCTAGCTTATTTCAGAATGACTGTATTCCAGCTAAACTGCCGGCAGCTGCATTTCTAAGAACCCACATGCTCAACAGCACGGAGAAGCCATGAGGATTTGTAGGCTCAACATGGATAAAACGAGTTTTCTCTTGCTTCTTGCAGTATTTGACAAGAAAATCCATGCTTTAATGATAGGGTAGGTTAATAAAAAGAGTCATTTTATAACTTTGACAATGCTGTGTTCCTTTTGTGTTTGAAATGCCTGGCCACAACCAAAGAATAACCTGCAGAACCTTTCTGTTCATGAACAGGTCATGGCTTTATCAGTGAAAGGCCGACCCTGAGTATGGGTGAGGGGTTTGGTGGGTAGCTGGTGATCCCCCAGGGTCCAGGCCTTGGCCATGGTGTGCTGCAGTCAAGGAATATGCGTCCAGATTGAAATACAGAGCGAGAAACAGTGCTGAGAAGCAGAGCAGCAGGTCTGGGCAAGGGATGAGCCAGCAGCAGGGCCCCCAGAGTGGGACAAGACAGGGAGAAAAGCGGGCTAGGACACCGAGCTTTGAGGAGCATAGGAAACCAGGCAATGTAAAGCAGGGCTGGGCAGTGCAGAGACAAGAACAAGATAAGCTTCCCTCCACATTGAGCAGCAGTGAGCACGATGCTGCTGGACATGAAACTGCTCTTAGCTGAAGGTACAGATGGCCACAAAAGGGGTCAGGCAGACATTGATCCATCCTCAAGTGACTGATTAAGTTGCCCTATCAACCTCCCACTACTTTTGGAGCAGAATCAAGCACCTCAGCAGCACACAAGACATCCTGTGTTTACATCCCAACACTAGCAATAAATTTTTGGGGTGCAGGCAAGCCTCCAACACCATTTCCACAAAGAGGGATCACAGACAGGTGGGCAGTGCTGCTGCATGAAAACTGGAGCTCAAGAACATGCTCAAGCGTGGATTTCCCTTTCCTACCCAACGCCATCCTATGGGTATGAAGCCAGTTCTAGGTCTATGCTGTCTTGCCTGCAAGCCCATTGAGGGCACGGGAAATCTTTCAATAGTATTTAGCAAGCTTCAGAACAGGTTCTCAGGTCTGACACAGGGCATCCCAAGCATTAAAGGCAGAGCTGTGCAGGACTGAGCAGCTAGGCAGCCAAAATCATGCGTAAAAAGGTCAAAAAGCCCACCTTAATAATGCATGTTTTGATGCAAATCGACAGTTATCAAAAAGAAGCAGAAAAGGAAGAGCTGTGGAATACTTTGGCACATGCTCTTCATACCAATGAATTTAGACTCTGTGTTTTCTTTTGTGTCTAGTCTGCTGCAAGGGCTTGGCACGAGCTGGGGCCAAGGCAGCCAGTGGGGAGCATCAGCTTGGACCTTCCCACAGAGCGCTTGGCTTGCACTGCAGACTCAGAGAGAAATGTCTCTTCCCTCTGCTCCCCTCCTCCTCTGCAGCCAGCCAGCCAAATCCCAAACTTAGTTTCATCACTTTGAGAGTGAAGTAACGCAAATGACTTCTACAGACCAACCCAGGAGATAGATGGATGAAAGCAGGCTCAGGATGTGATCCCTGTGGTGCATGTGGGCTCGCCAGAGTCAAACACAGCAGACCATAGGGCTCTTCCTTTCGGGGAGAAATGTCTGTTTGACAGCAATGAAATGGTCAGAGCTCTACAGCCCGAAACAGCAAAAAGCTCTCCAAGTTTCCCCAAACTGTCCCCCACTGCAGCTTAATTCTGACTTGGAGGAACAAACTCGCTCTGCACTCCCTGGGTCCCCGAGCTCTCATGAGTAGCCTGCTGGCAGAGCACACTGGATAAAGAGCAGGGTAAAGAGCTTTCAAACACGGGTGCTTAAACACTATCAACAGAAAACAACCTTGGCCCAACAACCACCACTCAGTGCTAACACTTTATCATTACTGATGAGCCACCACATCAAATACATGAAGAAAGTTTAGATAGGAGAAAAGCTAAAGGTCCTGGCATCCACCACTCACACACAAGTTTCATGCTATAGTGCAGTGTCAGATCTGACTTCCCCAGCTTGTGTTTATGGTCAGCGGACAGCCATGTCCTTTCTGCAACCTGAAACCTAACCCACACCCCCACATATCAAAAGCGAGCATCAGCTGCAGGAATGCTTGAAGGCTTCCACTCACCTCCTTCCTCCACTTCAGCCTTTGGACCACCAACCTTGAGAAACAGGCTGAAGCAGGAGACCTGGCTCCTAAACATCGGCAGGTTTGTGGCTCATGGCAAAGCATCGTCCATTAAGGTCATTCAGTTTCCAAGCCTCAGATAAATCTGGTGACCTATCCCTCCTCCTGCTTTTAAGAAAGGCAAAAAAAATTGCTTCCCAGAAGCTATCAGGCTGTCAGGAGTTAGGATAAACAAAAGGACTAGACTCAGCCTTCAAATTACCCAGGGATTTTGCAATCAACTATTTAAAAGCCCCCAGTACTCCTGTGATGAATCACTTACACTTTGGGTTTATTTGCAATTTATTCAGCAGATATCTGAAATAAAGAGGTTTCCTAGGAAGCAGGGGGAGCAGTGAGCTTTCAGATCATGAAACAGATGCACCTAACAGCGAGTCGCCAGCATCCTAAGAAATATCATTCCAACATTTATTTGAAATCCAAGATAAAATCATCTCTATCCAACACCAGAACCCTTCTGGTGCCCAAATGCTTTGCAGTTCTACCAGTAATTTGGCTTCAGTGATCTTAAACTGAGCTGTAGTGGATGCTGGTCTATGAATACCTCCACTACTTTGCCTCTCATGGCAAAAGGAGAACTGCTTTATTTTGGTATTATCACTTTCCAATTGCTAAGGGGGCTGTACTTGACCTCAGCAGTGGTACTGGGGATTGAATCACCATGTCTATGTTCTAGAGTCAACCCTGACATGCTATTCCACACCTCATCAGTGAATGCCCCATTTTTGTTTTGTCTGTTCTGCAAAAACAATCAGATTTTCATTACTTAACTGAGTTAAATCCCTACAGAGCTAGGTGAGAGCAAAGTTTCCAAAGAGACATTTTGGCTAACAGCTGCCTGGGGAACTCCAATTCCCTTTAAAGCTTCTCTAGCAGGCCAAAAATAGCATGCCAAAGATTTCCTCCATAAAAAATAAATTAATCTTACCCTTTTTTCTTCCACAAAACAACTGGGGTGAAGTTGTGCATATTCAGAGCGAGGACATTAACTGTTAAGCAAGAACTGTTTAATCTCCTCTGACTTCTTGCATAGAAAGCAATTCTAAGAAGCCTCAAAGGAAATTGTACTGATCAAAAGATTAAGTTACAAGTATAGGTATCCCGGCTACAATATGGTTTAAACATTACTTGGTATTAAACAACTAACTGAAGACATTCTGTACCAGATTTTCTCGATGTTCTGTCCAGCTGACCTTGGTTTTCCCCTAAAAGAGATGCAGTGAGCACCATCTACAGGGTTTCTGAGCACATCCCACCTCAAACTCCACCAAAGACACAGGGAAGCTCTCCCCTGTTGCTTTATGCTTTAGTTAGAACTGAAATTAGCACCTGCCAGCAATGACTAACAGCAACATTTCTCACATGAGGCACGATGTAAAACTGGCAGCGAGAGCGTACAAATTCCCTACAGGTTCTCTCCGATGCCAATATCTAATGCAGACACTGCTGGATGGAAGCTCATATTCCAACTAGGAGCATTAATAACAGCCAGCATGTTTGCTCCATGTTGTTTTGGAGGTGCAAAGGGTAGACACAAAACTCTTTGCTATCACCTTTATGATAGCAGAGCAGGTTCAAATAAGCAAGGAGTTAAAGAACTGTCAAAGAATTTTCCCTGAGTCATTCTTAGGAACTAAAAGGTTAATTTAACAGTTTGGTCATCTAAAAACTTTTAACCTTAAATTGCCTGAATTTTCAATAGTGTATTTTTTTTCTGTGGGGTCACATCTCACTGATCATCTTACTCTGGTCATAACAAACCAGAATTCGTTTTCCAGTGCCTGGGGACCTCGACATCAGAAAAGTTGGTCCACCCATGCTAACAGATAATTACAATATTTCTCCTAAGTCCATGATATTATCATTTGTGCTTAAATTGTCTGTATTATAAATATATATATATATAAATATATAAATTGTGGTGTGGGTGGGTTGTGGGTTTTTTTGTATACTCATTTTTCTGCTAATTCAACTTCTGATACAACCTATGCCCAAGGACAGACCCCTACCATGCAGCTTAGTGTCAAAAACCTCACTGTCTATGGGGAAGAGAGGGTACAGAAAACGTTCTTACCCTCTGCAAACACTGAATATTTGAATCCCAGTGATGCCTACGAGTGCTCTTTAACTGGTGAAAAATTCCCAGAAGCTTCAGTGGGTAAAACACAAGGCAAGCAGCCATACAGCTGAGCCAGTGGTGTACAGAACCCAGAAAACCCCCAAATCCACCATACACACACAAAACCCACCCACCCACCATCCCTTCCATTGGCATAAGGTGGTAACTAACCTTTCATCTGAACAGAGTAAAGGCAAAATGACTTCACAGCTTTTATATGCAAGTGGTAGCTGGGAGCAAACCACAAAAAATACATCATTTGCTTGGAAACTAACTTGTCAGGTTTATAACTTCTGCAGCACAAGCTCCATCCTTGAGTGTGCAGAGACAAATGGAACTCTCCACAGGAGCCCAACTTCCACCTTGCTGTTGTTTCCATGTTTTGACTATGATTCATAGGCTTGGATTTCTTGGGAGGATCGTGTGTTCTGGAAGACCTGTCAGAGGCAGATGAATTGTTGGACCAATGGCAATTAAAGGAAAATACTGCAGCATCTGCTTTCACAGACGCTTCTTCAGAAACATTTTAACCCATGTAATAAAGCACATTTTTATGGAGCTTTTGCTTGCTTTCATCCAGTGAGTCACACTCCAGCACATCAAGTTCCCATGAATTCAACACCTGACTTCAGCTTTCAGTTCCAGACATGGCTAAGTTAAAGCCATTGCCCCTTGTCCTGTCTATACAGGCCCTTATCAAAAGCCCCTCTCCAGGTTTCCTGCAGCCCCTTTAGGCACTGGAGCTGCTCTAAGTTCTCCCTTTAAGAAGCCTTTTCCTTTCCAGGCCGAACCAGCCCAGCTCTCTCAAGCCTGTCTCCAGAGCAGAGCTGCTCCAGCCCTTGCACCATCTCCATGGTCTCCACTGGACTTAGCTCCAGATCCTTCTTACGCCTGGGGTTCCAGAGCTGGATGCTCCCAAGTCTGAACAGCTCCAAAAAAAGCTTTTCCTCCAGTAATATTCAGGAAAAGCAAGAATAAGTGAGCAGACCCCCAGGACGTGGCCAGTCTTTGTTCTGCTGTTATCCTCGCAGTGCTACATTACTTCTGAGAGTTCAGGGATTCTTCACATGAAATGCTCCTTCTTATACATGCCATTAACCAAAGGCAGGTGGAGGAAAAGCTTGGATTAGATTAACAACTTCTTTTCAGGTAAACACCTCTCCTATCTGACAGTAGACATAAATTTTCATGGATGGATGGCACACAAATATTAACTGGGATGTATTTTCTAGGCTATGAAAAAGAGAAGGAAGAGATAGCAAATGATACCATTTGGTAGGAAACATAAGTAATCGATCAGAAAAGCTAAATATACCAAAGAAAATAATCTACTGAGAAGGTGAATTGTAAGTTTTTAGAAACAAAATGAAAAAGATTAAAACAAGAAAACTATCATGGACAGTAAAAAATTCTCTAGATGTTCCCAATTAAGGCTTAAGTTATTCATCTCAGTGCAAGGGTACCAAGGCAAGAAAATCAAATTAGATAATCTAAGAGTCTCATTAAGCACTGAACTGAATTCCAGAGCAGCACAGGATTTTAGTATTGCAAGACTGAAGTTAACTGTGCACAACTTGCACCTGAAGAAAGCCCTCAAAGAGAAATGAAAACCTTGTATAAAAATAAATTTATTCTCAACAGCAGAAACAGGGATTTATGCACTAACTTCAACACTCACAGAGATTCTCTTTCTTTAAGTATCTTCAGGGGCCCACAATGAAAAAATGCAGATGACAGCAAGATCAAACACTCTGGGAGGAAAACTTAAAGTTCAACTAAGCTGAACATTATAGGTAGGCACTGAAATATTTTATATTACTATTAACTTACAGACATCATCACCCACATTTTAAAATACATCTATTGTTTAATATTCTGTGACAACATTTTCCTCTCTTTTAGAGTCTTTTTTGTCGTGCTAAGTTTGAGTGTTTGAAATCTGCATTCCTGATGAACTGCTCTTGACTTCTGCTGGAACCAAGAGTGCATATATCCATTGTAGAAGTCAACTGCTGTAAGCTTCTTCTTTAATATGACTCCTTTGATTCCAACCCAGCCTTCCTAAAAGTAAAAACAAACAAATGGCAGCAAGCTTCTTCCATGATTTTAAATTCTCTTTAGTTCTCACTAGGGTGACTTGCAGCATACATTTTATTTAATGTCATCAAATTTACATTGCAAGTCAAATTCTTGCCTGTTAGTGGAAATTAGAAGTTCTCCAAGATACCAAATAAGACAACTCATGCTAATCTAAACTAGCTCAGTGAGTAACAATGGACAATTAAGATAAAAATTGTGTAACACATAAATACTAAAAAGTCCATCCTTAGGGCAGTGAATATAAAACAAATGGGAAGAACCTACCTTGCAACGAGCTATCAGTGTTTGGGATGCTTTATGGTATAGAAGTGAACCAGGAACAGCTCCACAGTCATTTAATGTTTGATCTAAAAGCAAAGCAAGATTGACTTGCATTTTTTTAGCACCAAGTACAAAAGGTTTGAAATACTTGTGTCTCTTTGAAGCACAATAACCATCTTGAGTCACTGCTTTGCTCAGAAATATTTTTCAGCAAATTATATCCAAATGAGCATGGGAGAACCAGAACAGTCATTCTGGCACTGCTCCCTATCTGATCCAGAAACGGTCCTTGTGAGAGATCCCCAGACAATGCTGTTAGAAGAGGCTCTCCTAACTAATTAGAGGTTTAAAATCCTCCAAATCTCAGGATTCACACGGCTATACCTGCTGCTTACTCAACATCACAAAGCAGGAATGTCCTTAAAATCCATTTTCTGCTCATCTTTGGGCACAGAAACTTACTGCACTCTGAGCATACATGATACTGACTTTGCTCTACTGGAGTTTCAGAAAGCAGTACTCAAAGCTATTGTTTAGTACAACTGCATATGATCTCCAAGTCAGTATCTGAAAAGACAGGAAAATGTAACTTAAATTAATTTCAAACTACATACCAGCAAAGCCAGGGATGTCATCCACTTCCACAAAATCCAGAAGTTTAACTGTAGTTCCCTTCCACAGTGTCTGCAAAGGAAACTGGAAACAGAAGCAGATGACACACTGAGAATACTTTCATGATGTCCAGGCAGCTGTCTAGTCTTTTAGTTACCTGTGACACTAGTGGAAAAATTTAGATCTATGTCCAGATAAGAGACTTTCCTTATATCCAGTTCTCCTTGTTCTCCCATATCTCACTGACAAGCAAATCATTAGTATATGCAGTAATTAGTAATGCATCTAGCTACAACTGTTTACCAAGACTGTCTGCACTGTTTACTGTCATACAACGATGTCATGATAGAGTTCTGGAACCCTCTCAAATGTATCAGTAGAAATCTCAGAGCTGAGGAATCAATACAAAACTCTGGGCTGGTTTCATACTTGGAATCAAGTCTATGAAAACTCTACGCTACACTAATTCTACTTCTAATGCTAAACTATGCTGGGATTTTAAAACATATGATGGGTTTAAAAGGCTAAAATAACTGAACTTGAGCTTAGTCATTAGTTAAAATACCCACACCAAACTCACACATGCTAGATGACAGAAGAGGATTAAAAAAAATTCTACTGTCTTACCATGCTTCCTATTGCACGATATAGTTGAATTACTTGTGCAGCCGTTTGCTCTTCCCATCTTACACAGCTCTTAGCTATAGATATTTTAGGAGCTAGAGAGAAAAAAAAAACAGAAGACTTCATATTTTGTTTTGCATCTTTTTGCAAACAAATAGCTGTACCATTTTATCCTGTTTTAAACCCAACTTTACCCTAACCAATGGTAAATTTACCTCTAGCCATAGGCACCTTAAACAACAACTGGAGAAAAGGTTCCCTAAAACCCTCCTTTTGATTATTTATACTTTATTCTCAGTTGTCCTCTTATTTATCCATTGTAATGCAAACTGGTAACATATATTTAGAAGCACAGCTTAACGCTTCTGTGTTACAACTGTCAAGAATAAACTCAGATTTTGTAACATCACTCAGGATTTTGATATTGTAATGGACAACTGGAATAAAAGATTAATGCAGGAAGTCTGAAGAAGAAATCTCAAGCTTTTTGCCCTCTGTACAACTTGTTTAAGCCGGAGAAGGCAACGGAGAGACAATATTGAGAAAGGTATCTAAACAAAATATAACCCAGCACCAGAGGAAGAAACTTAGTCTTCCAGCTTATAAAAGACAAAATGAACAAGTTGCATTAAACATGATTTGTACCTACCAAATGTTACACCTTCTTCTGGTTGTTCTTTTTTATTTTTCAAACTTTCAGGCAGGTTTCTCAGAACTGATATCAGCTGTAAAATCAGATTTTGTACAGAGCATTAGCAAAGCTGAGAACAGTACACTTATTAATAGTACTTAATTTTTCTTCAGTGGAACTTTCATGTGACCTTTCAGACAACTGGATCGGTCTATTCAGAAGGCTTGTATCATACACAGAAACACACTAAAGGCATCCTCCCCACTGAATCACAATTAACACCCCACCTCCAGTATTATTTTATGGCTGATCTCCTCTCTGATATTAAATCCAGAACAGGACAAAATCTGGGATTACGGGGACAAAAAAGCAGATATTCACTTAAATGAAAGACAAAACTGCACCATTTCTATACAAAGTCATTGAGTTCTTCACAGAACATGCATACGAGCAAGGCACAGGATGAACACTGACAGTGTATCACACACCATGCAGCTTTTCTCTCAGCAAGCCAAAGTGCTCACAAACACCAAGTTTCAGATCACTCTCCTCTTAACAGCTGCAGTCAGTTCAGAGCAAGATTAAGAATGACTTTTACACATGTTGAAAGGAAGGTGCTGATGAGAACTGACACTAGCTTGAGCTTGCATGACTTTACCATGTTTGCACCCATCTTTGATAATACCACTTCCAGCTCCTTTGCAGTACAGCGGGGAGGAACAGCAAACTCTTCTTGCTTAATAATTGGACCTACATCAAACCTGTGAGGCAAAAACCATACAAGCATACTGGAGAAGAAACTATAACTCAACCAGCAGTTCTAAACTCCATGTTCATTATGTTAACTCAGTTACTAAGTACTCTTTTTTATCCCCCCTCTAAAACTTTGTTTGTCACACATTATCAAACAACATTTAGTTCACAAAACAACCCAGGGAAATGGGTATCAGATATATCTTGGCAAGCAAGATTCACCTCAGCAAGCTGAGTTTGATATGAACACACAATTTATAGTTCAGAAGCAGAACATCTCAAAAGAAACGACCTGAAGTATTCAGAAGAAAATAGTTTCAAGCTTTCCTGAGGTCTATTATGAGACAAGCATCTAAGAAAGGTTAACTGTGATAATGTGTTTTCACAAGCCTTTTAAGCCAGACTTTGTGCTGCAGCTAAACCACGTAATCTCTCTCTCATCTCAAGACAGGGAACTGCTTGTCTTCTGTCTCACAGGATGTTACAGGTGACTCTGAGCTCTGGAAACCAGATCTTTCCCATCACATCATACCAAGCCTATCCATCTAGCTGTGTGACTGACTGCTCTCACTCTGCTGCCTGTAACAATGCTAGAAATTAGAGAACAGGCCTAGAGTCTGGAGTACAAATTACACATTCACTGAAATACTGTCTCTATGTCAAGTCTCACACGGTCAGATGAAAGTTTAAGTGTTTCACCTTCTAATATTAACACACATAAAAAAAAAATTTGTGACTACAGAATGATTTAAATGGTGATTGAAGTGGTGATGCTTTGAAGTCCTGAGAAGCAACAGAAGCTTTTGGGAAGCACATCTAACCTACCTTTTTGGTCTTATTTCCATAATTGTCACCCCGGTCACTTTATCACCATGAAGCACTGTGTGGATTATGGGTGCAGGACCACGCCATCGAGGGAGGCAGCTGGGATGGACATTGAGCACGCCACTGAATTAAAATGTTTTAAGTTAGAATAGGAACAGTACCTGAAGCACATGTAAATGGGTATGGGACATTTATTATACTGAAAAATGCTTGAAGAATTATTTGCTGAGAACTTTTGAAGTGCTATCGGTTTAAATATACACTTAAAGGAAAACTCACACTACATAACCTTCAGTTTCTTAGTGAATGCAGAGAGATGAAAGGGATAAAAGTAAACATATTACACTGAACATTTGCATAGGCCTCCATCAACATGTTAACAGTGAACATGACAACGACAGAAGTAGGGCTCAAGCTAAGTAGATTAAACCAGGGAAGAAGCCGACCTCATCTGCTACAAATCACAGGTGCTGAATCAAACCCTAACTAACGGAGCAGCAAGGGCTGTCCTGTCAACTCACGTACTATGGGAACTGCAGAATAAGGTCCTCGCTCAGAAGACGCCCAAACGATGCCACCACACCCACATCAAACTGCCCCGCAGGGCCGGTGTGGGGCCACTCATGCACAGGCAGCTGGAGCTCCCGGGCGCAGCTCCTCACAGGCAGGTCCACGGGCAGGCGTGAGGGCAGGGTCACCACCTCCAGCCGGGACACGAGCGAGCCCTCGCTGGGCTCCCTGGGGAGGGCAAGGCACTGAAGGGCTCATGCAGGCAGAGCAAGGGAGAGGCAAACGCTGGGTCACCTCCACCCCTCGCTGTGGCCTCCTAGGACCTCCTCCTACAACCCTATCCCCTACTTGGTCCCCAGACCCCCTTCGCTGGCCCCAAGCCCCTCACCACCCGTGGTTTCCTCCTTTCAATCCAAAAACCAATCCACGTACTCCTGTCCCCCTTGTGATCCCTCTCCATCAACCCACTCACGACGCCAACGCTCCTGTCCCAACGTAAGGCCCCTTCTCTTCATGTCCCCTACCAACCGCTGCCCAACCCACGATCCCTGCCTCACGCCGACCCCAGCTCATCCCCCGACAGGACCCCCTATCTCCCAGCCCACAGTACCTGGCCGCCTGCAGGGCCCGCAGCGCGGTGACGGCGAAGCGGTCGGTGCCGAAGAACAGCACCCGCCATGGCGGCAGCCCCGCCGCGCGCCCCGCCGCCCCGCGCGCCGCCTTCACCCCCTCCCGCCAGGCGCGCAGCAGCCGGCCCCGCATGGCGGCGCTTCCGGCGCAGGGCGATGACGCACACAGGCGCGCGGAGCCCGCCTCGGGGCGGGGCGGGGCGGGGCGGGACGGGACCGCCCCCCCTGAGACTGAGGCGGCGGCGCCATCTTGGCGCGGGGCGGTGCCTGGGAGGAAGGCGGTGCCTGGGAGGCGGGCAGCGCTTTAGCCGGTCTCACAGCCCGAGTTCGAGTTCCAGCGCTGGTTTCTGTCTCTGCGTGGTGTCAGCGCTGCCCGGGAGAGCGTTCCCCGCGGTGGTGGACCCGCAGCCTTGTCCCTCCTGACCGTGAATTGGCCGCTCCGCCTCAGTGCGGAGATAAGGGCAGGCAGGGGTGTTGACACCGCAGGCGCTGAGGCTCCGCTGGCTCCCACTCAAGCTCATTTGTGTGTCCGCCTCTGGACTGCTTTGTTTTAACAGTGATTGTAACTTCAAGAATGTTTTCTTGTAAACTGTGGGGTCAGAATAACCACTTAAAAGAACTGCCTTCTTCCATAACATAAGTATAAAAGTATTTTATCACTCTTAAGAACATTCTTCCCACCCATGGGAAGATGGGTTGTGTCGCTGTCGGTTTCATGTAAATTACATACACAAATGCCCTACGCATCTAAATCTCCCTGTATCCTATGGCCTTCGACAGTGGGAATTTGTAAAACATGAAATCTGGGAACAGTTTCAGGGAAAACACATAAATTACTTGGGAACTGGATGACAGTTGAAGTCAGACGGGTACAGGAGGGGAATCTCACTCTGGAAAGGCAAATCTGCCCTGTTCAGCAGCACTGTGCCATTCATTCCCTTTTGCATGTGTTTTGCTCATCATTAGGGATTCCTTCTCTCAGATATAGAAGGTGCCTCTGCTTCCAGTGGTAGAAAGAAAGGAGAAATGAGAAAGTGCTGTTACAGGTAACAGAAAACGAGTCAGGATCTCCTGAATGAGGTGCCTATTCTGCACCTTGAGAAACAGAGGGTACGCTAGCAAAACCTGGGTGTTTCCTAGCCCAGTATCAGGATGTAAAAATCAATTGCTCCAGAAAACTTCATTCGCTACTGCATGTGGAACCCCATGGAAATCCTCACTTTAACCATATACAGGACACCGCTCAGTTCCAGACAGCACGTCCTGAGGTGCATAGATGGAAGGGTATAGTCAAATATAAACAGGCAGGTAGCAAGGATAAAGGAATGGGTTCTGCTTGAGAAGAGGCTGAAGCAACCAGCACGGTTCATGTGGAAAGCAGAGCTGGGAGAAAGGCACGCAGTGTCTTATCACAGATACTGCGGAGCTGGTAAACCAGGAACAATTAGTCATTGCACAATCACTGGGTGCTTACAGGCACTTACCGGCATCAGGCCCCGAAAGAGAAAGCAGCGTTCCACACAGTGTGTGATTTCATACAATCACAGAATAGTTCGGGTTGGAAAGGACCTTAAGATCATCCAGCTCCAACCCTCTGCCATGGGCAGGGACACCTCACACTAAACCATCTCACCCAAGGCTTCATTCAACCTGGCCTTGAACACTGCCAGGGATGGAGCATTCACAACCTCCCTGGGCAACCCATTCCAGTGCCTCACCACCCTAACAGTAAAGAATTTCCTCCTTATATCCAATCTAAACTTCCCCTCTTTAAGTTTTAACCCATTACCCCTTGTCCTATCACTACAGTCCCTAATGAAGAGTCCATCCCCAGCATCCCTAAAGGCCCCCTTCAGATACTGGAAGGCTGCTCTGAGGTCTCCACGCAGCTTCTCTTCTCCAGACTGAACAGCCCCAACTTTCTCAGCCTGTCTCCATACAGGAGGTGCTCCAGTCCCCTGATCATCCTCGTGCCCTCCTCTGGACTTGTTCCAACAGTTCCATGTCCTTTGTATGTTGAGGACCTAATATCTCATTGAGCACTTCATATCTCAGATGCTGCACCATACCCATGGTTTCTTGAAGCAGGCAGCACAGTTGCTGGTTGAGTTGGAAGGAGATGTCCTGTGTGGTGCTGGTGAATACCAGCTGGCTGAGGTCTTGGGTGAAACCAGTGCATCAGAAAGGCCAGGGATATATCATGCATGTTTGTATGGCCTGAATACCATCCAAAAGCTGGGAATTTGAACCTGGCATCCAGCTGCTGCTCACTGTCAGTTTCCAGGTATCCGATCCTGGCCTGCGAGGCATTGAATGTGTCAGTGGCACATGGACACCAAGTGTGGAGCTTCTGCTGCTCACCAGGGGACTGAAGCCCTGCAGAAGGATTCCCAGTTCTGGCAGGATTAAACTCCTGGAAATACTGAAACTGTGCTGAGTTTTTGCCAGATTTACACATGAAATAGTTAATGTCGCATTTATGAAGTGGACTTAAATTCACTCCAGTATATTTGCTCCCAAGTATTCAATGCTCTGATGTGACTGTTCGAACAGATGATAGCTATTATTTAGTACTGTGCCTTGGACACATGAATTTTTGCCTGAAGCTTAATTTCAGCGTATTTTTTTCAACAGAATGAAAGCAACAATCTGATTCACAAAAGAAAACCATAAAGCTCACAGATCTTGCTTCCCTGCTGCGTTTGAACTCTGCTTTTGTACATGGAGAGAAAAAAACTCCCCACAACCCTGCATGTTTAGTTATTCTGTAACCAGGCATTTCAGGTCAAAGACACAGAAGGGATCAAAAGAGATAAGCAAAACTAAAATGCCAAGGTCAGAGAAGTGCTTCCTAAGCGTAGTGAAGACAAATCCAAGGAGGAAGCAGAACACCAATCAACGTCCTATCTCCACTTTGCTTCCTAGCCAAAGACACTGAAAGTGTCTCCAAGAAGTAAAGAGATATCTCCCATGAAAGAGTGCCAGCGTTGTCAGGGGAAATAACGAAATAAAGCACTCACAGCCGTTACTGAAGAGATTGTCCTGAGTGTGTTTGTGTTCCTCTGGAGAAGGAAAGGATTACTGGGTGCAAGGCACAACTCTAGTCAGTGGGAAACTGGGTTTATGTAGTGGTTTCTCACACGGACCCCTCTTCTGCAAACAGCCCAAAGGCAGGACAGGACCCAAAAAGCCACTGCGGAGCTGCGAGGTGCCTCATGTCCCAGGGGCTGCAGGCACTCTGTCACCCTGGTTAGGTTTCTCCACCTGGTTTCAGAGGCTTCAGTTTAGGGCAGTGTGGGTTATATCAGCTGTATGTAACCCATACAGTTATGTACATGTCCAGCTTCCACACAGCAGCTGGAGAAACTTTCCATTTTTGTTTTTGAAATACAGATACAAAAATCAAGCCGTGTAGGAAATTGAAAAGGGACCTTTGGGGGCTTTGCAGTCACCCTCATCTTACAGTCATCTCTTCACCATGTGTAGCATCTCCATCCCTTTACTCAGAGACTACACTTCAGGGGCCAGGCATTTTCTTTACACCCTTCTCAAAGGCAGTGCGCCAGAGGGTTTGGGTTTGTAGCTTGTGAGGCCGTCACTGTACCCCATCCCTGGCACTTAGTCACAAGGACACTTAGAGAAGCATTCACTGAAGCGGTGGCACTTTTTAAATGATCCAACTTGAAATGAGGAGGAAGGACAGCCCGATTCACAGCATGGTGTGATGTCCCAGCTTGACCTGCCTCCCCCAGCAGAGAAGAGCTCTTGTTTCCTGGAGGATGCATATCTGAGTGTTAGCTCCTATTCCGTCGCTGCCAGGCTGACACTGAACAGTAAAACATCTCTCTCTGGGGAGTGTGTGTGTGTCTGCTGAGTGAAACTTCACAGGAGCAGCCAGAGGAAGCTCTGAATTAGATGTGAGATGGGATTCAAAGGATTAATCACCCTGGAACATGGCTTCAGTGCCAAAGATGCTTTATTTCAAGCTGTAAAATACCAAGAACTTGACAAACATAAGGATACCGTGCCCATCTCCGATTAGCCTTAGCTAACCAGTGCTGGCTGTGTGCTCCAAGCCTGTCACTGAGAGGTATCTAGCTTGCTCTGCAGTATGCAGCTCCAGCCATGGATCAAATAGTTCAGGGAGAAGGAATCCTCCTTCCCCAGTGTGGCTGGCTCAAAAAGCCTTGTGACACTCTAAAGCCTTTTAGCAGGCTGTTGACTTAGCCAGTTGTTTCCAGTACCTGCAAAACAGGGATGGCAGAATGTCCAGTGGGTGCTTTGCTTGCAAAGTCAGTCACTCTTGTGGGATGCTCTGGGAGCCTCAGAATGACCATTCACTAAAGACAGAAAAAGGGCTTTATCAGGACATGCTTCCTTTACGCAACGAGGACAGAGCCAGGCAGAGTGAACGTTATCATTTATTTTAACCACAGAGTAACTTATTACTGAGTGTCATTCTACTCAGCATGCTCTCTTAATACTGATTAGGCCAATAGCTTGAGCAAATAAGCTGGAAGTTCCTATGGTTCATTCTTTGGGAAAAGGTCATTCACCTCATGTAAATGGACCCACTAAAGAGGTGTGTTTTTTCCAGGGGCTGGAGTGAACCTCACCTGTTGGACTGGCCTTCAGACATGACTCAGGAGCAGAATGAATCACAGCTCCTAGCATACCAAGAGTAGGAGGAAAGGCAACCTTGTCGCCGTGCTGAGGCACTGAAGGCTGCTTGGAGGAGACATCTTCAGACAGCAGGGCTTAAAGAAGAAATGTGGCTTCCTCTCTGCTGGAACAGCGTGTTTCTGGTGAGTTAGCGGAGATGAACGGACATTCCTGCTGCAGGGTTAATTTATAGCTATCTGTAAAGAAAGGCTTCTTTATTTATTTCAGTTAGAAATCTGTGCACATTTTAAGCAAAGGCTGCATAACTTGTTGAAGGAGAGACTGAATGGCAAGTGAGAAGCAGGCTGGGATAACTCCTGCATATAGGCAGCCTGGAAAGCAGTCAGACGAAAATATTTCCTATAACTCAGGTTTGTTCTTTAACTTTTGACTTTACAAAGGTTAAAAGTTAGTACAGATTGCCTTCTTGCTCTGGTATTTTAAATATTAAACATTTCTCTTGTGTTCTGTAATTAAACTTAGTTCTTAATATGCCTTTATAAACCAACCCATCCATTTGTATCTCCATGGTGTGCTATTGTATATCCTTTATGAACCCCAAAGGCAGGTCATCCCACTTTTATAATGACTTTGGAATAACTGATGCATTTTAACACAGTCAGTATAAGATAAGATAACCTCCAGAAAAAGAGTCTGGATGACAAGAGGAGACTATTTTACAAGGACTGGGGTGTTACAAGTGCGTTGTCCTTTATTGTGTAGTGAGTATTGAGTAGGGAGTCCAGAGGCACATTGTCATCTTCACAGAAGACATTTTTCCTCCATCTTTACTCATATCAATATAATAAGTATCCCAAGACTTCTCATTTGTAGAGTGAGAGCAACCGGCTTGGTAAGAACCATGAGCATTAGACCTGATAAAAACCAATATACAACGCACATGGTAGCTCCACAGCACCATGTAGCGTGCTCTGGCTGGAAGGAATCCACGTGCAACTGGTGACGTGTGTGTTATGCCAGCCTTTAGAGCATGATTTAAGTGCTGGGATTAATCTGTAGAGCAAAAAGCAGACATTTGCTATTTTAATGTATTTTCTTGAGATTCTGTTGGATGCCACCAAAGTCCACAGATCCTGGTTTTGAACAGCTGGCATTTGTGAGTGACTCTTTGTTCCTGAAGTACACGCAGCACACAAATTTTGCAGCTTTTGATGTGAAAATCCCATGTGCAAAAAAGAAATTACAAAATTGTTCAGGTGCAATATAAACTCAAAATACCACAGGAAAAGTGTTTCTTTGAGAGGTGCTGGGTCTTAGTTCTATCTATTTCCTTCCATAAAAGCATAAAATGTACAAGTTTTCTCTCATTTGCACTTCCCGTGCTGTACCCAAGCTGGGAAGCAACCTCAGAAGGGTCTTAGGTGTCTTCAGAGGTCTAAAAGACCAAAGTCTACAGCTTAGAGTTGTCAAAGACCTGGATCTAGGGGTCACCCCCATTCAACAGCAGCCAGAGTGACTGCTAAGATATGCAGGCAGGGAAGCAATGGAGAAGACATCACCCACAGTCTCAGCTTGTTTGGTGGAGCAGTGGTCTTCCACACCAGAATGTGAGCAGTGGGGCAGAGCCACTGTATGGTGGAAGCTGGAGGAGATGGCCTTAAAAATCTTTGTTTCAGGCTGAAAGATGTAAAATCTGTTGGGACTTGCTCTTTCTGCACTGGGGAACCTGGAGGTGCAGGCAGAATTCCGGATCCTGCTCAGGCTCTCCACTGGGGTAGATAAAATGGCCCAAGAACACTTTGCTTTGTAGCTTTGATGAATGAAACTTCCAAACTAGTTTGGTCATTTTTATGCAGATGTTTAAGATCTTTAAAATAACAGGAGGGTCTCTTAAAGTCTTTTACCTAAATTTCCTGTTAATGCACAACAAGTAACCATTCTGCTACTGTATTGTACCTGAGAAGCTCCATTCTGTGGGAGATCTGGCAGTCACTACTTTATGAAGTCGAGAAGTACCTCTAGCAGCTGTGTAGCATCCCTGCTGTGCATGCCAGCTTTAGTGTGGACACCAGGAGGTGGCCTGCAAGTTATGAAACACCTTAGGGGAAAATCAGCAACATGCATGTCAAATATTCCTGTTGCAGCAAATGATCAGACAGGACCTTTGCATAGCAAGATTTAGCACATTTGAGTGGCACCTTCTTATTAGGGTGTAGTAGACTTGTAACTTGATTTCATTGGCTCCATAACTTTATTTCCTCCTTTCTGAGGACTGAAAGGAGTAAATAAGCTAAAGGTTACTTGGACAGCAAGGTAATTGGCACAGCTAACTGCAGGGAGCAGCTTTACCTGTGTTTTTTGAAATACAAAGTGGACCATGTATTTGAGAGTCCTCAAAGAATTGCTCACAGGTGGTTTTGTGGCAGCAGGGAGCAAGCCTGCATGCCTGTTTGGCTATAAAATGTGAACTTTGAATTGTGAAGACACTGGGGGGGGGTGGAAATAGTAGCAATCATTAGGTCTATAACCGACAGGACAAACGCCTCCCTGAGGAGTCAGCAGCAGTGTTGTTGACACGCCTGGCACAGTGGAACATGCTCGGGAGTGATTTGCAAGGAAGAGTTTCAGACAGTGCCACACTACGAAGGCAGGTAAAAGTTGAGAGTATCAGTTGTAAAAGTCTTAGCTTTCATATAGTAATTAATGATCTATGAGGACAGCATGTCTGAGAGGCACACGTGTGTTGTGGTGTCATTCACCTGTGAGTGGGTGATGGTTCAGGTGAGGCCAGTGAGCGGTGGTGGAGCACTGGGGAGAGCCAGTCACCCATTTCAGACTAGCAGTGCACAGAGGGCAACCCTCTGCTCAGGTCAGGTCCCTCCAAAGGAAGCTGAAGTTGGGCAAGATGCCATAAAAGCTAGATTGATGCCACTGACAGATGAGGGACTAAAGGTCAAGGAAGAGCTTTCTGCTTCTCTGAGGGATGTGAGATACCTTTGCCTCAATGACATGCTGGCTTTTCCTCCTCTGGGAGCTGAGCCCACCAGCTCCTCCACACCCTTATTCTGCCATCCCTGGATTGGCAGCAGATAGTCGCTATCCATGAAGTGTATTCTCTAAGGACTGTGGCAGGGAAGCAAGGAGAGAAAAGGGAGGTTAGTTGGGGAGGGGCTGGCATACAGCAGCTGAGCTCACATCTGCATGGTGTCAGCTAGGCAAGGGGCCCAAACCCAGGCAGCAGACCCACTCTGCTCTCACCTCAGTGGCTCCCAGGATATCTGCACCCTGTCCTGGCAGCTCAGACTCACATTCACTGGAGAAAACAGATGCCACAGCTGCAGGGGTGCATCAGGTCTGAATACAGAGCTGGAGCAAAGAGGGGAATCAGCATGAGCACAGAGTCATTTAAAAGATCATCTCTACTTGTGGTTTAGTCTCCTTTCATCTGATGTAGACGTTAGAGGAGAAACATGCTGGCCTGCTGTCTCCAGTACCTCTGAGTAATAACCTGTGTAACTTTCAGAGCTCCCACTAATAAAACCAGTGGCACTGTATGGTGGGAGCTAGTAGAGGTTACCTTACCCCTCACCTCTTTTTCTTTTCCAGAGATCTGCTCACTGAAGAAACACTGGTGAAGGCGTGATCCATCCCAGCACACATACAAATATGAAGCTTTTCTGGATAATCCCATTTTTCCTGCTGCAAGGTAGAGTCTTATCTTGGTGGATAATGGTGTGGGTGAAGCAGGGCACGTATGCTGAACTGTAATGCAGAACCTTCTCCACTTCTCAGTGCATGAGATAAGGTTGTGCCCTCCTGGCTGTGTTCTGCCTGCTTGGAGAGATGTGCTGGGCAACCCTGGGAGCCAAGGGAAGGCCATTTCTAGCCTGAAGTACTGCAGTGTACAACCATTGTATCTTTCTGCTCTTTTCCCCCACAGCCAACGCAGAGCAGGACATGGATGTCCCCACAGCCCTTGCCAGCACAGACATGTATGATCACACAGCACATGTGACCCTTGCACTGGGTATAGGTCAAGAGGAGCTGGAGGAGCTGCTCTGGTTCTTCCGCACAGAAGACCGTAAGTCCCATTGACATTCCTGAGTTTAGGGTTGAAATAGACAGTCCTTGGTTGTCAACCCTCCTCCTAACGGACATGCCAAAGGGAATTACCTGAGGATATGATTTACCCCAGATATATAAACCCTCAGGCTCACCTCCAGAAGAAGCATGGGTAAAGACAGGCATGAGGCTTTGCTGAGATAGTGTCTCCTCCGAGAGTGAGGTTCAACCTCTTTCCAGGCACAGTTTGCAAGAGGGCAAAGGTCTGGGATGACCAGTGATTTTGGCAGGGTAGAGGGAGCAGGTTGATACGAGCAGGTCAGTGCCATGAGGATCAACTTCAAAGCCACAAAAATCAAGGACAGGGCATCTGCTGCCATCAGGGCTGAACACCCCGGCCTACGTTCAAAGGCAAAATCTATCCACCCAGGTGTGTGGTGGCGAGAAAACCTGAAGAGCAGAGGGGCCCTTCTAGCAGTGCTCTTGGTGGGACACTGCAGCTTCCAGCCTTGCTCCCAGACTGGGCTATGGCTGAAGCCATGTGTGGCAGATGTGGGGAGCATGAGAGGTACAGAGCTGGAGGTGGGGACTGTGAGTGGCACAAAGCAGTTGTGTAAGCCCAGGGGGGGAGAGTTGCCTGAGGTTATCCCCAAAAACGTGACCCGGGTGCTCCATTCTGGGTGCTGAGTTTGACACAAGCTTCTCTGCCCTCATCCTGCAGCCAAGCCATGGTGCTCTGAGCTTGGCTATCCTTGGAAAAGGCCTGGCTGGGCTCTGCAGGTCACACTGCTCTGTGCATGCTAACGCTGCCTCTCTGCTTTTCCCCAGCATCAACATGGAATTACTCCGTCCTTGCGCTTTCCTTTGTGGCCATGATTTTGGGTCTTGTCCTTCTGGCCCTTAATGTTACACGGAACAGGTAAGACAGGAAAATTTGGGTGTCTTTTGGTGTGGTGGAGTGCTGAATCCCCCCAGCAGACAGGGGTTGGCAGAGCAGGGCAGGACAAGCCGTGAGTGATGGGGAGAAGAGCAAAGACAAACTCCCTTTGAACTGAGCTTTGCTGTAAAACCTTGCCTGACTCCCTGTTCTCCTTGTGTGTTGCTTGGAACGAGCCCCTTCTCCAGGCCACGGATCCTCAGCAGTAAAGTGCCTGGGACAGTTCTGCTCAGCCCAACCAGGCTGCTGGGAGGGAAGGAACATTAAATGCATGGTGTGAGGTGCTCTGGAGCAGTACTCCCTAGTCTTGTCATCTGCATTCCCATAATGTACCCCTGGGCTGTACTGCTGCACAACAGTCCCGCAGCTGAGGAGCAACTCACTGTTGTCTACAGCAAGGGAACTTACCTCTGAGTCAGCTTCAATTTCCAATGAGAGACAAAGAACTGATGTCCCACGGCTGCCACGCTTGTTTAATGATGGTTTACTGGCTGTTGCTGCCTCACTGTGGTTTGCTGTGTGTTCTCCAACTGTAAACCCACAACTCAAACACCACAGACCTCTTAACACAATGCAGCTGGTTTTCCCACAAGCAGCTGCTGTGTTCCCAAAGCCAAGGTGTGAAGAGCTGGATGGAGCCATCCATCTCTGCAGATAGATACTTACCCCAGATGTCTGCTGGGCTTGCTGCTTCACTCCGTGGTTCCTTTCTACCCCTTCCCTGCAGGAAAAGGAAGAGCCACATGTGCAGCACAGCAGGGCAGACAGCTCAGCAGGCAGAGCTGGAAGCCAAGCAAGCCCTGGTCCCTGTGGAGGAATGCAGCGCGACTGAGCTGCGGAAGGAGGATCCAGTGCCCCAGGATCAGAGATCAGGAGAAGTCGTGGTGCAGTGGAAGGATGGGACCGTCACGTCTCTGTACACAGAGAAGTCTGAAGATGCTCTGTAACAGCAGCTTTAGTCCAACCATTCAGGCCCTAAGGAATGTATCAGAATGTCTTGATTCATAGCGATGGAAGTTTAAAAACACAGTTTAGCCTGCAGAAACAAACAAGAATAAAAAGCAGCAGCAGAGCTGCACCAGCACAAGTGGCTCTGGACTTGCAAACCTGGGCCTCCCCAGTTCAGCTATTGGCTAGCTGGTCTTTACCTGCTGCTCTCAGTGCCTCCAGCCTCCTCTACTGCGTGCTGCCTTCATCCCCTGTTGCACCCAGGCTGGAGCTGAGCGGGACAAAGGGCCGGAGGTGTGGGAATACACCGTCAGCCAGGGGACACACTGCCCTGTCCCGTCAGGAAAACAGCCACATGGACACGGAGGCACTTTTGTTCTTTCCAGAAATAATCTTTATTAAAATACTTTCCAAAGTGGTTGATTGAAACCCCATATTGAATGTCTATCAGTAAGGTCAGATATATATATATATATATGCTATATGTACAAATATACATGTGATGTGTTACTCTGCAGAGTAACTGCAGCTCCAGGGAGAAGCGGAACGTTTAACCTGACACAGCAAATGAAGCTGAGCACACAGCCCTTGGTCCTGGCTCGGGCACAGGCAGAGCCTGGTCTGGTTTGGGATTCACTTTGTGCCCTTCACTGGGCACATGTAGAAGCCATGAAATAATTTAAGACATGTTTTAAACACATCAGTCTTTTAAACAAAGGCTTTTGGAGCGCGTCCTCGTCAGTGAAGCATCTCTCCTTGCAAAGCCTTTGAAAAGGAACGCTATGGTGTAAAGAGTGGATTAAAACCCAGCTATTTTGGTATGGCTTATTTGATGCATGGGAACTGATTTTGGGACACCTGAGGCCTTTAGCTGGCTTAAACAGTATCTGCACCATGGATTAAAAATACCCCAATTCCTCTTATTGCTCGGTGAGGGCACCGGGAGAGGAGCAAGGTGTGTGCCCCCGTGCTTCATTAGTGACTGATTCCCCCTTCCTGGGCTCCTATCACTGTGCTCTGAGCTGGCTGGGGGTCCCTGGGGACAGCCCTCACCGTCCCAGTTTGCCCATAGCTCTGGCTGCTCCGGGAACTGCCTGGATCCACCCTGAAAGCCAGGCTGGTCCCTGGTGCCGTTGGCAGGACCGGATGCACACACAGCGGCAGCACCCAGCCAGAGGGGTCAGGAGCCAGGGTAGGGGCAGGCAGGGTGATGCCACGACTGATTTCAGGCTTTCAGCGCGCCGCCTGCTCACCAGATCACCAGCACAGGCTTTGCCCTGCGTGCCAGCAGCCCATCAGTCCATCATGGATAGCCTTGGTCCATCCAGAGCCAGGAGAACAGAGTGTCTCCCCATCCCCTCTGCAGCAGGGACGCCTCCTAAAATATCTTGAATCCCTTCAGCAGGGTGAGCGTGGGAGCCTTCCTCTTGCTCTGCGCCCGCGATGACTTGACAGTGACCAGCTTGGCCTGTGCCACCGAGGGGATCTCCTTGTAGCTGACGGTGGAGAGGGTGTTGAAGGTGCAGCTGGCCAGGCCGTGCCGGGCGGGCAGTGCCACCGGTGTGGCCACGGGCAGGCACGGCCGCTCCTCGGTGATGAAGAGCGGCCGCACGGGCAGGTTCCACTGCGCCCGGCGCCGCACCTCGCGCACGGCCTCGTGGAACACGCGCTGCACCCCTGCGAAGTCCTGGCACGCAGACACCTCGTAGTACAGGCACCCGAACCGGCGCGCCAGGGACAGCCCTTCGGCGGCGGGCACCTGCCTGGTGAGAGCGAGGGGATGGCTGCAGCATCCCGAGGGGATGCAACCAGCACAAAGGGATGCAGGTGGGGAGTGATGGACCCTGCTTCCTGGTGAGCACCAGGCTCGGCTCCTGGGACAAGTAGGGAACATGGGTCCCACATTGTTTTGCCTTTCCCAAAGGTCCCTGGGGAATCATGCAACCTCCCACGCCAGGGATGCGTGCCAGGGATGTGATGGCACTGGGAAGCAGGGAGGAAACAGGCTGTGCTGTGGGGACAGGGAAGCCTCCATGCTGGGAGCACAGGGGGGGTCAGCAGCGTACGTGACTCAAGGATCTGTGGGACCAGCATTCAGCACAGCCCCGGAACAGCACAAAAGGCCAGGAAAACACGCTGGGGACGTGCAGTGCTGGCAGCGGGATGGGTGAGGAAGGGCCCCAGGGAAAGGGCACATCCAGAGGGGAGCGAGGAGCTGGAGCAGGCTCAAGCCCTGCCTGGGGATGGTGACTCTGCCCAACCAAGGAGCCAAAAACCATCCCACTGAAAATACCAACGGGCTCAAGATAAACACATCATCCCCCAGGCAAGAGCCTCGGAGATGTGGGAGGACAGGCACATACCGATGGGGGGTGGAAATACCCACAATAGAAATCAGATTTGGATACTGCATCCCAGCTGGAGGGATGGGGGATGAATCTGTGAGCTCTTCCCACCGGGAAAGGACAGCCTTGCCCCATGCCCAGTACCTGTACTCCTCCATGTCCAGCTTGTTGCCCAGCAGGAGCACAGGACAGCGGCTCTGGCATCCCTTTGCATGCAGGGCCAGGACCTCCAGGTAGCGCTGGCAGCCCTCGAAGCTCTTCCTGTCGTCGATGCTGTACACCACGAGGAAGGCGCTGGCCCAGCACAGGTAGCGCTCGCAGTTCCCAGGGCCATCCTGGGAGGAATCAGAGGAGCGGCTGAGCCATGGTCACAGCAGGCATCTGGCACCAGCACTGCCCCGGGGTCTCACCTCGTCAGCCGTGTCCATCACCTTCAGCAGCACAGGCTGCTGGTCCACCACCTCCTCCGAGGTGTAGGTGTCCTCTGCAAGGAGAAGGCTGGTTGTGAGGATGCGCTGGGGTATCCGATCTGCTCCAAAGCCAAGCAAAGCCCTGGGATGCTTGGGACACCAGGGAAAAACCTCAGCATCTGACACCTCCCACCTGACTCCTTCCTAAGACAGCATTACTTTGGGGGACTGGTGGTGATGCTGCTGGGAAGCCTGGCTAGGAACAGTTATATCTCCCTGTATGCTGCAAGTGTGGGCTCCTATGGGATAAGGAGGAAGGGAAGGAGCCCGGTGCAGCCATCACTGCACCCAGGCCTCAGCCCTTATCTAAATGCCACGACCCAGCGAGATAAAGCGAGTCTGGGGCTTGACACTGGGGCTGTTTCCCAATAAATCAGGCAAAAGCAGCACCCCTTTCCTTTGGAAGGAGGGCGGGCAGAGCCGCTGAGCCATTCCCCTGGGAGGAAGATGCCATCTCCCGGCTGGTCCTAACGGATACGTTTCACAAAGGTTTTTATGTGGGAAGATGAAACTACATTCCTAAAACAGGTCCGAGGAGGAAAGGATCTGTCCTTCTTTCCTAAGAGTCACTGAGTTATGTGGAGCTGGAGCTGGATCCTGGACAAGCTCCATATCTCCCTAATGTCCCTGATAAATCATTCCTGGTTCTTCCCCACGCCCTGGAGTCCGGCCTAGGAAAATAGGGATTAATTACTCAAACGAGTGGAAAATAAAGCCCAGAACTGCTCATTGCAGAGCGCAGCCCCTGGGGCCACTCGCTCTGCAGCCCCTTGTCCCAGCCCTTCCCTGCCTGGCACCCCAGGAGCGAGCAGGAGGCTCCCCAAGGGGTGCTGCCAGTCTTTGGGGTGATGGACATTGTTTGTACAGGCGGTTTGGGTCACATCCAGCCCTTCTGTTGTTTTTCATGTAACTTTGGGCGCTGCTTTTTCTTCTCCTTCAGTGCCACATTCGTGGGAAGCGCAGGCAATGGGAAGGATGCTCCCTGGGAGCTCATGGAGGGGCAACACCCGCGGAGGAAGCGTCTTACCCAGGTTCGGATCGTATTCACTTATGAACCTCTTGGTTAGAAACTTCACGGTCAGAGCTGCAGGAGGTGAAAGACGCGGAGTGAGGCCGGTGTCCCCCCCACCATGGCACCGGCACCCCAGCACCACCCTGATGCCCGCCCATCCCCGTGGCATCGGGGCGCCCGCCTCACCTGACTTGCCCGCCCCGCGGCACCCCAGGATGGCCACGTTGCACTCGCCGAGGGGGCTCTGGGGCGGCCGCTCGCCGCCGGCTCGGGGTTTGCCGAACACCGAGGACATCCTCAGTCCTGTGGGAGAGACATGGAGGGGAGACGGGGACGTGGGGCACCCGCTGCCATCCCCGGTGGGGACCTCCCAATGGGTGGGAGACCGGGGAGGGGGGATCCCCTCTCCTCCATCCGCATCCTGCAGCCGCAGCGGCCGGCACCAGCATCCCCGCTCCCCCCTCCCCAGCGAAGCGAGGGACCCCGCAGCCCTCTGCCCGCCCGTCCCCCCAGCGAGAGAGAAGAAACGCGGGCTCCCACCTTAAAGCCCTGCTCCCTCTCGGGGGGCCTGGGGAGCAGCAGCGCCCGGAGCGGATGAATGAGGCGGGAGGAGGCGAGCGCGGCTCCCCCCGCTCGGGCTCCAGCCAAGCTCCTTGTAAGGAATGCTCCGCGCCGGCGCCCATGGACGCGGGGCTGCCCGGCACCCGCGGACGGGCCCCGGGGCTCCCATCGTGGCTCCCTCCAGTCAGCGCCCGCACGGCCCGGCCACCCCGCTGTGCCCCTGCGCTCCACCGCCTCCAGCACCTCCTGCCGTGCCCCCAGCAACACAAAGCCCGGTCCCGGCTCCCCGGCTGAGGCCGGTGCACTCATGACACCTCCCGCAGGCAGAGCAGCAGCACAGGAGCGGTGCTCCCCCTGCATCCCCCTGCCCACCGCATGCATGGCTCCTTGGGGTGCACCTCCTGCTGCTGGCGGGGGGGGGGGAACCCTTTTTCCACCCAAAAGGTGCAATCCCGAGGGGAAAAGGGGAG